CATCCCCCCAAGTATGGAATCCATCAGCTATTCCATGGAATTTCTGGAATCCACCCCCCCTTCCATGGATTCCATATGGATTAAGCTGGGGAGGGTAAAGTACAGCCTCAAACCATGAATTCCTACTTGTCTGCCATTCGTTCAGGTTTCATTATACCTACGGCAGCTGGTGAGTAGATGCACAAGTATTAGTTACCTTACCCCACTAATACTGAGCCCCCAACCATACAAACAGACCATAGTTGATGGTGCCTGCTGATGAGCCCATGGATCAGTTGACCCCATCAAAGGTGGACCGGCCATCAAGACTCTCTTAGGACTGGTACTGTGCATCGGCTGAGAAGTGTACCCCATGAATTGACATAGCTAAAAATGCCTTGGATCCTGGGTCAACCGATCTCTTCATGGATTGGGCTCAACATGTGTCATGGGTCAGCTGAAGAGCTTTGAATCCCATGCAGCGTGGATCAGCCCAACCTGGTCCCATCCAGTTGACACTATACGGCCGAGTTTCGTTTTCACTCAGGTTTTATTTGCCAAGTTGCTCAAACATTACCTCGGCTTTTCTTTTCCGGTCATGGTCCAGTATTCGGTCATGCAGTTTACTGGGTCCATGACTTCCCAAGAAGCTGAGCATGGTGACGTTCACAGTTACTGCCAATACATTAAGGCAGTGAGATATATTATGCACACCCCTGGTTCAAAATCCCTACCAAGTTTATACCGACCAATGTTTCTTGTAAACATACCCATGTTGGAACGGGTCTGGCTCAAACAACCGCACTCGGCTGCCTGAAATAAACGCCAAGCTGTTACTCCATCAGACAAAGTTGCTCCAAGATCCCCCTGCTTTTTTCTGCCGGTCACAGTTTACTGGGTTGTGAAAGAAGCCAAGGCCTTACTGCTTTCATTATTATGTCCACCACAGGACTTCATATTAAATATGCCCAAAAAAAATTGAAGATTGTCCAAAAAATATACATGTATGCTACTAACTATTAAGTAGGGGGAGTTTGGACAGTTTGGACATCATTGTTTGTAACTTGCTGGCAGTCAGATTTTTGAATCCTCACCAAGTAGAAGACTTACTCTGTGCGGGGGTTTGAAGTATGGCTTCGAGTTTCTGTAGCCAAGGTGACTTCCTATTACCCCCAATGTAAGGACCAGGTGAACTTGCCCAGGTTGGAGGAATTGGGTTTGGCGCCAACAGAAGGACTGCTGGGCTCTCAGATGCTGGAGGCAGAATGACGGCCGGGGTCAGAGAGACTTGTGCGTGATCAGTTGGAACTGGGTTTGGCAGAACGATGCCTGGGGTCAGGGAGACTTGTGCCTGCTGGGTTTTCTGACCACGGTCAGGTAAGACTGAGTGATCGGTATTGATGCCAGTGTGCTTCTTCTCCTTGTTGCCAAGGAACTGGATAATAAGCGATTCCAGACTTGATTGGTGAGCACCGAGCCACAGGTTGAGCTCCAAAATTGTGGTGACTGATTTGGTAAGGTCATGGAGTGTTACCTTGGCAGTTTTGATGCGGCTTGTGAGTTTCTCAAAGCCCTGGGTGAGACTCTCTTGTAACGCAGCTGGCGTAGTCTCCCACTTGTTCTCCAGTGTCTTGACGGCTTCCCTCACCTCGGCTTCCAGTCTCTGGTGATCACTTCGGATGGACTGCAGATCTTCTTGTGTTTCCTTCCAACACATGTGGGCAGACTCTTCAATATGGTCCATCCGGCGAGTCGCTCTGGTGATTTTTTCTTTCTGAAACCAAACAGAGGTCTCCAGACTTGCAATTTTCTCCGAGAGAGGACGGCTAGTCAAATCTTGATCTTGAATAAACCGGGTAATCTCTTTGAGCACCAAAAGACGTTGTGAAAGGGTCACGGGTGAGTCAACCACCGGGGGGAGAAGGGCACTTGCATCAATATCTTGTTTTTGGACCACAAATGCCGAATACTCTCGCATAGTAGGGGTAGACGACTCCATGACGCTGACTTGCGCTTGTTAGTCTCAGAGTTTCTGCAGGAGGTCGGCTTGGCTGTGAGCAAGTCTTCTGATCTCCTGCTGCATCGTCTGCATGTCAAAGTTCGGTGGGGGGCTCAAGGACCTAAAGTCAATCTTCTTCTGATAGAACACCATGTCAACTAAGTTTTCAAGTTGAGAATCATGGGAAATGAGAAAACAACTTGAAACTTATGATGAACCTCCTTGGGATCTGGTGGGCTGACCTGCTGAGAACAAGATGCTGAACGCGAACCTTCTGGCCAGGACATGCACTCGACAGGTGGGGGTGTAAAGCTTTGTTGCATATAATTGACAGCCAAGCCCAATTCTATAACAAAGTCAGCAAAGAATAACGAGTTTCATGAATTTTTTACCTGGCCACATTGTTAACTCGGGCACGATCCACTCCATCTCACTGGCTGGTGGCCCAATCTCCCAGCCCTTTCCTTTGTCAGTGTTGGTACTGACCTCAGTCTCAGTGCTCTTGAAAATCGCTGATGTGTGTGGTGTGGGTGGCTCAATGATTATGGTGGGAGTCACCTGGCCCACGTCTTTGTCAGCTTTTGGAATGGCACTGACCTCGGTTTCCTCATGTTTGACTTCCGCCATCTCTATGTCGATACCACCCTCGGACTTCCCCTTTCCCATTGTCAGACCAACCTCCATGTCCATGTCAATCACATGCTCCGCATCATGCCCAACTGTGGCCATTTCAACATCCTGCTTGCCCTTCTCTTTGACATCCAGCTTCACCTTCTTCACCTGCGGCTTCTTTGACCTCGCTTTCTTCCTCACGATCTTCACTTGGGCATCTCCCCCAGAGACTGTGGCCGTTTCAAGATCCTGCAACCCCTTTTGGATCTCGTCTTCGACCTCACTGTCAGTGTCCTTTTTCTTGGTTACTGCATATGTGCAGGTCGTCTTACCTGTACTGCAGGTGAAGCAGGATCCTTGTTGTGGGGGGCGACAGATAGTGCATGGAACAGTTTCTCAATCCATGCGTTTGCTGCAGGCCTCACAGGGTATAGTCGTGAGCTGATAATTGCCTTTCGCAATCATGGCATTCTGATTTGCAAGATGTTCGGCAGTTTTGGCTTGCCTTAAAGCGGCCATGGCGGTCTTGGGAGGACCAGCGTTGGGGTCTAACTTGGGCCTTTGGATGAGACTGAGACCGGCACTGGGTGTCATGTGGGAGAAATGGGGCTGGGACTTAGGTTTAACTGCCTTTGCTTCCCCACCAACTGGTCGAAGTGACTCCGACTTCGGCTTCAATGTTTCCTCATCACTGCTGCTGTTGATGAACTCCGCACTCATGACTCTGGTCTTCTTTGGCCTGGCTTCAATCGAGTCCCCTTTTCTTTTTTTGCTTTGGACTGGGGCAGCGGTGTCGTTAGGAGTCACCTCTGATTGTGGCTGGGCGCTGGACCCGGCCTTGGGTTTCCTTCGCCCAGACTTTGTCTTACTCTTGGACTTTGTTTCAGCCGCTGGCACAGGATCAGTTGATTTTGCCTGACGCGTTGGTTTTGTTGGGGCCGGGAGTGATGATGAAGCTGTCGGTACCGGCAATGGGGGAGTTGGGACTGTGACTGGGAGCAATGAATCAGTCGAAGATGGAGGTAAAGGGGGAGAGGGACCGGCATAACCTTCCATAAAGAAGGTAGGGGTGGTGGGTTGTGGGATTGAGAACATTTTGGTCCAATCAACTGATGGTCCTGCTCAGGCCATTTCCGTGTATGTCAAAATCCAAGGGTGGTTGAGGCACTGGGCCGCATTATACCACATATTCTTGTTGATGAGCAAACATACAAATCATTCCTGTAGGAGAAAGAGATCCAATTTCAGTCAATAAATCATTGTTAGTCACTCACAGCTTTCCCATATGCATCCTCTTCCACCGTCCATTGGTGGGCCAGAAGACCTTCCCTGTGGTGGTTGTAAAAGTTCAAAAGTGTGGAGGTGGCCACCCTAACATCCTCCAAGAACCTGGGAGTGAGGGTATGGGCCTGTTGAGTGGCTTGAGCAAGTTCAGCAGTGGACATGGTAAGTGGGAATGGGACGATCGAGGGTGGTGAATGTGTGCGTCGGAATGGGACAATGGTGAATGTGAAATTACAAAGTTGTAAACGCGGTCATGTGGTGGCGTTACTTCAACCGAGATCCGCACAATGTTCAACTGAGATCTGCAGAATGTTCCATGGCTGATCTGCAGTGACTTGCTTTCCCACTGTTGAAAAACAATGTGTCTTCATCACCAACCACACAGTGCAATCCCGGGAAAAGCTATCTACTCTCTGACTGATATGTCTTTAACAAATCCAGGTATTGTCCCTACTCCACACGAAGGATTGTCTACTTAATGTAGATAAACAGAAGCTGTGATGAAAGACCAAGAAATGAAGGATGGTAAGTTTTATGTACTCTTGTCGGCTGAGCAGTTCTAACCATATCTTAGGAATGGCCAAGGCTCTACCCCCTCTTCAACCAAGTGGTGAGTTCCAGTCGGTGACAGAAAACTAGCCAAACCTAAATTCTGGGTGGCTGATAGGACAGAGCCAAGAATCCAAACTAGTGATGGAACTGGATGTCCCATCCTTGGCTCCTCACAGATCCATTTTCGATTTCAAAGAACCTACCCCTGCTATAAGTTCCAACCCATTCACCCCAGCCTCGGCTCACCAATCCATTTTCGAGTTTAAGAAAGTCGGCACTTCAGCTTTTGCCCTGACCTCAGCTTGTCAGGCATCAATTTTCAATCTTCAGCACGTGGGCACTTCAACAAATGTTCTGCCTGTTCCCCCATCCTCGGCTCGTCAGCCATCCATTTTCGATTTTCAGCAAGTGGGCACTTCAACAAATGTGCTGCCTGTTTCCCCGTCCTCAGCTCATCAGCCATCAATTTTCGATTTCCAGAAGTCTGGCAGATCTCCACCAGCCTCAGCTTGTCAGGCATCGATTTTTGATTTTCAGCAAGTGGGCACTTCAACGAATGTGCTGCCTGTTCCCCCGTCCTCAGCTCGTCAGCCATCCATTTTTGATTTCCAAAAGCCTGACAACCCTGCACCAGCCTCAGCTAATAAAGGATCCCCTTTTGATTTTCAAGTCCATCGTTCATTTACCCTGGCCCGGCTGTTCAGCCTTCCATTGATTTTCAAACACCTGGCACGTCTGCTCCAGCTCCTGCCCTGACAAACCAGGCATGTCTTCCCCCTGCGCCTCGAGGTCCAATAGTACTCTGGGATCACAGAAGTATCTGACAAAATCACAAGAGGCCAAATTACAACTCCAGGGCCAAGGAGGAGCTGCCATTCTGCCAACTCAGCCAGGTGATGCCTTTGTTTCAGCCCAGCTCCTGTCTTTGTCTACACTCAAGAGAGGACAACACCACACCCACCACCTTCGACCGAATTGTTGGACTTGGATCCAAACTCCCCACGTGCAAGGGGTTTATGTCACAAGTACAATATCAAGGTTGTGTCTGATGACAGCATTGGTGATCGCACGGGCATGGTAGCCAAGGTCGTTCAGGCAATTGTGAAGCGTTCACTCTGAACTTCTTGCATAGCTGAAGCCAAGAGGGAAGGAGGAGGCAAGAATGGGTGGATCTGGGATCAACACCCATAAGTGAGCAATGAGCAGTTACAAGATACTCAGCTGGCCCAACATGATTATGCATACTGTAGGAAGTACAGATATACAAAGCACTACATGTAGTGCAAGAGGATGGCAAGACTGCTGACAAGATGGTGGTTCAAGACAAAAGATCAATATATTATGTAAGATATCCAAATCTAGCTATATATAGTGTTGCCAAAGTTCAGTTCAGTTCGGTTCTTTGGCACTTTTCGAGAACCGAGAACTGGACTGACAACCTCTGAGCAGAACTGAGGACCGAACAGGACTGAACCGGTAAGAACCGTTCTTTCCTGTTCAGTTCTGTTCAGTTCTCAGTTCGAACTGCCGAACTGGTGGAAAAAAATGGTAATTTGTCTCCATAAGGGGGATTATGTACTCTAGCAACTACTAATATAGCTACATTCTGGCTGAGCATCAGCCTCAATTGAAGCGTCGAGAAGGCGCGTTTTGTAAGTGTGCTTGAAAATTTGCACCCAGCCAAAAAGAAGTGGCTCCATGCGATTATTAAGTACACACTCAAAAAAGCTCGTTCAGAAGCTACAGAGGAGCCAATGACAGTAAGCGCGCACACATGCCAGTCAACTTTCATCACTGACCTTTCCCTGGGACTTCATCTCAAATCCAACGTTGTGCAACCTCACGAACACGGTGGTTGGCAAGGATGACGGTTTGCTTTTATTCTTATGGACAACAATAATGGCCTCGTACAGCAGGTAACCAGTAAGCCTTCATTTTTGTTATTGATAATGACCACGTATCTACGAGGGGGGTCTCTAGCTGTCAATCCCACGAAATCAATGATTAGCTTCGGCAACAAGTCGCGTGCACTTGAGTCCAGACAACGGCATCCTCGACGATCATGCTCACGAGAAAATGACGTGGCTGGACGCAACGTCGATGACATGGCAAGTTGGCGGATGGAGCTGGCAATGGCGGTACAGGAACTTCGGGAAGTAGGGGAAAGATGTCGGCTAAGCGGGGAGAAAGAGCTCGTCGTCGTGAACGAGAATAACTAACTTACCTTTGTGAGTAGACAACGCCTTCTAGAATGATAGAAATCAATGTCCAGCCTCAATAAGAGTAGGCTGTCCATGGGTTGTGCTACCCGACTGTGCAGAGACGACACGGACAGGAGAAGGAGCCGCAGAAGTGTTGGAAGGGACGTTGGACAGGGAAAGTTATAGTTTGTCGTTCTGGATGCCAGAATCTTCAACTCACCATGCACGCGTGTTGGACAGATACCATTGTGTGGATATAAAGATGGCAACGAGACCTTGACAAACCTATAAGGTGGAAATCAGCACGACAAATGGTGATGTTGAAGCAGGATTATAGATCCCCAGGGAATTGGTTATTTTCCTCAGCCACCCTAACGTTTTTTGAGAGGATCTTGACGCACTTTATCCCAACTCGTTGAGCCGGGGCTTTCCCTTTCAAGGTGCTATAGTTGGTGAGAATGTTACGTTGACATCATGATGAAGGTTTGATGATATGGCATTAGCCGGCACACATTGAATCTCCGAAACAGCCCAAAAATTCGTCGATAAAATATACAAGACATATACATGTTCAGTTCAGTTCGAACGGGTCCGAACCCAGTTCTCAAAAATTTCCAAAGGGCTGAACCGTGAACTGGAACCGACACCCCCAGCCCGAACAGGAACCAGAACTGTAACTGAACCGTCAGTTCAGTTCTGCCAGTTCGGGACTGAACTTCGGCAACACTAGCTATATACCACTGTTTGACTATGGCCTTGGGCATTCCCTTCCAATCCTATATCACAAAGCCCCCCAATGTCCAGAGGGCATGTAAGGAAAACAATGGTGGGGAAGAATAATAGAATAGAAATCCTCTTGCCCCCCAGAGTGAATATCAGGACAAAATGAAACCAAAAGGTAGCAAAGCAAAGAAGATGAATAAAAGAAAGAAAAAATTTGGCCCCAAATAATTTCCTATCTGGAAAGCTGGTCACTGCAAGCTCCCAGCTTAACCCAGAAATACCCATATGATCCTCCCATTCTCTCTTCAGTGATGTATAACCATGAGTACTGGGAAACCATGCAAGTGGATGGCTTCCAGGTCATCCATCCCAACTCCATTGCCTTTCCCCATCAAGATGGTGTAGCATGCTTCCATCATACTTGTGGTCTGGGTATAAGGCATGTATAGTGTGATAGAGGCTTGCACCTCTCCACTCAGATCGTTGATCCCAACTCAACTCCCTCTACCCATCAAGATGATGTAGCTTGCTTCCATTGTGGTGTGTGGTCTGGATGTGGGGAGTGTGTAATGGGATAGAGGCTTGCACCTCTCCTCCCATCTTCCACCTATACTCCCATACAGCCCCCCACTTTTCCAGTGTGCGAATCTCAAGAATCAAGCCAGGGAGGATAGAGGCAAAGAGATTGTGCAGTGGAAAATTACAAGCTGTGATTTTAAGTTGGTGTCAGAGTAGGTAGAGGTGGTGCCAGTTGGGTAGGAATGATAAGAGGTTGAAGGAAAGGGGGAGAAAAAAAAATGTTGTCATAAATCTTGCCCCCCAGAGTGGACACAGGCCATGCAACACACACACAGCAATCTGTAAGGTTACCATGATTGAAGGAGAGTCCGCCGCATAATGCGCGAGCAGCAACTCCTCAACACTGATCCACCGCAAAACATGCAAGCTGCAATCAGGAGCCAGAAGGTTACCATGATTGAAGAGTCCGCCGCGTAATGCGCGAGCAGCAACTCCTCAACACTGATCCGCCACGAAACACGCGAGCAGCAATCAGTACTTCTGAGGGACCCAGAAGGTTACCATGATTGAAGAAGAGTCCGCCACGTAATGTGCGAGCTGCAACTCCTCAACACTAATCCGCCGCGCAACGCGCGAGCAGCAATCAGCCTTCTGAGGGAGCCAGAAGGTTACCATGACTGAAGAAGAGTCCGCCGCGTAATGCACGAGCAGCAACTCTCAACCAGNTGAGGTGTCTCCCCTGCCCNATAGAGTCCTCCNATCAGTCCTATCACCCAAATAGAGGGGAGATCCTGAGGTAGCCAAAAAATGTGTTCGAGCATAGGCGTAGTGATTTTCTGGCCCCGTCCCTGGAGATCAAATACCCGTTCGAAAGCTACGAACTACGCTTTTCCAACGGTATAACTTGCGTATCGTGACGAGCTGTGGTTGTCGAGATAGAGAGGTAATACCCAGAAACTGCAGTTCTGGAGTAAATGCATACTGCAGACCAGGCTGTTGTCCGTTATCGACGTAAATAGGTGCGTCGGAAAGGTACGATTCAGACGTTTAAAATGGGCTATAGAACGTCCGATGCGAGCAGGTGATGACAATAGGAATGGGGAAATGGTTGTTGAAGAGATGGCACTGTAACACAAGGACCGCTCGTCCGTTTGACGCGTATAAGGGCTTCCCAGAAGCGCATTGACCGTGGCTTCAAAACGAACTAAAGAACGAAAGGGGCGACGAAGATCTCGCGGAGAACAGACGAAATATGTTCATCTTGGTCATAACAGGCTGAACTAGGCGAAGCGCCGCCAATAGGCGACCGTTTGGCGAGTTCAGGGAGTCCGAAGAAAGGTGTGAATCAGGGATTTCCAACGCAAAAAAGATGAGAGCGATCTGAGCGTCGGTCGGCGAGATATGACATGAATAAGTCCCCTGCAAATGGTTGTTGGAGGGATGGCACTGTAACACAAGGACCGCCCGTCCGTTTGACGCGTATAAGGGCTTCCCAGAAGCGCATTGACCGTGGCTTCAAAACGAACCAAAGAACGAAAGGAACGATGAGGATCTCGCCGAGAACGGACGAGATATGTTCATTTTGGCCATGCCAGGTTGAACTAGGCGAAACGCAGCCAATACGTGACCGTTTGGCAAGTTCAGGGGGTCCAAAGGAAGGTGTGAATGAGGGCTTCCCAGCGCGAAAGAGACTAGAGCAATCAGGGCATCGGTTGGTGAGATATGATGTGAATAAGTCCCATGTTGATGTCCCATCAACCCCATCCAACCCAAAACCACTCCAAACCCTTCTAACCATTCAGAAACCAAGAAGAGCCATTCCAGGGAGTTCACAGAAAAGTAAGGAGGATGAGAATACTCATTCCTCAAGTAAGAAAAGAGCAAAGATTGGGAGAGAAGCATAGTAGGGCATAGCACATAATTTCCAGAGCAGCAGACTGAACCAGAGGGACGTCAATGAACATCTAGCTGTTCTTGAGAGGCCCAGATGCTAAAAGACAAGGGAGATGGTTGAGGAACAGGTGGAGTCTGAGAGACAGTGAAGCAGCGCAAAGCAGCAGGCAACACTGGTTGTGGGCAACCTCCTCACCAAGTCAATGGTCGCATAGTCGCGGAATCCAGACATAGGTGAATAGGAACTCTCCTCACAGTAGGCTTTAGGCCGCGTAGTCACGAAATCCCAAAGCCCAGCTGCCCAGAGTCAGCGCAGCACCCCAATCGAACAAACCTCCAGTACTTATCAGTCCCCCACTGATTCCTGCAGGACTACACCATAATTTTGGCAAATTTGAGTTTTAGGAGAAAAATTCTGTCAAGTCCTCAGGATTCCTGAGGACTACATGACATTTAACCATCTGTGACATGTTTAAACACTTCCTCTAACTTCCCTAATGACTTAACTCTATTTCCATCCTTAAAGCATTCAGATATCAATACATAGTAGATTTTTATTCTATTTTGAATTTCATGATATTTCCTTCCCAAGTGCCTGCGGTCGACTCTGAGGATCCCCGGACAACAGGAAGGGGGGAAGGAGGGACAAACAGGAAGGGGGGTACAGACAGGGGTGGGAAGGAGGACAGGAAAGGGAGAACAGAGCAGGAGATAGAGAGGAAGGGAGTGGAGAGGAAGGGGGGACAGACAGAAATGGGGACAGACAGGGAGGGGGGACAGAGAGGGAGGAAGGACAGATAGGGAGGGGGGACAGATAGGGAGGGGGGACAGATAGGGAGGGGGGACAGATAGGGAGGAAGGACAGATAGGGGGGGGACAGAGAGGGAGGAAGGACAGATAGGGAGGGGACAGACAGGAAGGAAGGATAGAAATGGAGGGGGGACATACTGGGGGTGGGCACTCATTGCCGCTCGTCGGTGGCAGCCTCGTTTGCCGTTCGTCGGCAGTGCTGGGGGGGTCGTGTCTGTCCGTGGGCGCTCGTTGTCCGTGGGCGCTCGTTGTCCGCGGGCGCTCGTTGTCCGCGGGCGCTCGTCGTTCGTGGGTGGGGGGTCGTCGGCGTCGTCCATGCGTGGGCATCGTCGTCGTGTGTGGGCATCGTCGTCCGTTCGTGGGCATTGTCGTCCGTGCATGGGGCATTGTCGTGCATGGGGGGCCGTCGTGCATGGGGGGCTCGTTGTCGTCCGTGTGCGCTCGTGGGTGGTCGTTATCTGTGGGCGTTTGTCATTCGTCCGTGGGTGGGGGGACCGTCGTTGTCCGTGGGCGCTCGTTGTCCGTGGGCGCTCGTCATTCATGGGTGGTGGCGGAAGGTGGTGGTGGTGTGGTTGTGGGGTTCCGTTCGTTGTCGAAAAAGTCGCCGTCGACATGGCATACCCGGATGGGCATGCCACGTCAGCGATTTGGTGGTGGCGCCGTTTGTTGGGTGCCACCGCCATTTCCTCGTCGGCGTCGGTGTGTGAGCTGTCGTGGTGGTGTGTGGTGGTGGTGGAACATGGTGGTGGGGTTGTCGTCCCTCGTCGCGGGGTCGTGGGCGTTCGTCGTCGAGAAAATCGCCGTCGACGTGGCACACCCGGATGGGGTGTGCCACGTCAGCCGTTTGGTGGTGGCGCCGTTTGTTGGGCACCACCATCGTTGTCGTTGTCGTCGTCGTAGTCGTCGTTGTCGTCGTCCGTCGATGTCGTCGTCGTCGTCGTCGTTGTCTGTTGCGTGGTGGTCGTGGTGGTCGTGGTGGGCGAGGTTGTGGGTGGAGAGGAAAGAGAGAGGTGACGTGACGTGTCACATATGAGAACTATCATCAACAAATATGTGCACGTGATGCATCACATCACATGATGTATCCAAGCACATGCTCATGGGTCATGTGACTCATCAAATGCATCATTCCTGGGACTAGTCCTGTCCGAAAATCCTGAGGACTGTCTTCAGTCCTCAGGAATGGACCCCCACAGGACTCAAAAAATTGGCTGGCACATCAGCCAATATAGAGTCCTGGTAATCCTCAGGAATCCTCAGGAATCCTCAGGAATCCTGCAGGAATCAGTGGGGGACAATAAAGACCTCCAAACCTCAACCAGCTGTGCAAGCACAAGCTATAGTCAATGGTTCATCCAACTGAAGGATGGATGAGCCCTTTCACATGAAGTAATAAGCCCGCCGCGAAGTGCGCGAGCTGCAGCTACCATCCATGCTAAGGTTCCTCCTGTGATGAGCTGGCACATTCCCACAACTCTCCAGCTCTCCCTCTACCAAGAAATGCAGACTTCAACCATGCTTTGGTGAAGTCCGTGGTGCCCCCACCATTGTGAAGCGTTCACTCTGAACTTCTCACATAGCTGAAGCCAAGAGGGAAGGAGGAGGCAAGAATGGGTGGATCTGGGATCAACACCCATAAGTGAGCAATGAGCAGTTACAAGATACTCAGCTGGCCCAACATGATTATGCATACTGTAGGAAGTACAGATATACAAATAGTGCTTGAAAGTCCAGTCCAGTCCGGTTTTTTGACCCAAAACGAAAAGACCGAGACCTAGACCGGTCCACACAATTCCTAAAACCTCAAAAGACCGGACCAGGACCAGAAAAGACCAAGACTGCAGTCTTTTTCGGTCTTTGGACCGGTCTTGGTCCAAACTGGTTACAACCAGTTCAAGACCGGTTTTTCAGCTAAATATGCCATAACCTTTGCAATTGTGAGTCAGTAATTTTATTAACATTCTTCGTAGCTTCTAAACGAGTGCAAGAACGTTAAATTACGTTGAGAATTGATGTATATACAAAAATACTAAGGTACATCTGCTATTTTCACGAAATATTTTACAGTTTTTTATGTATCTTTGTCAGTTTTTATCCTAAAAATATGATCTTAAGTGCGTTTTGAAGGGTTTTTATATAGGTACAAAAGACCGGTCTTAACCGACAAGACCGGTCCATGTAAACTAGTGCTTGGAAGTTAGGTTAATTAACTGGAAAATAACCGAGACCAGACCGGACCTAACTGCAAAAAAACCGGACCGTGGTTAGTGGTTAGTCAATTCTGGAAATGAAATAACCGGTTATTTTGCGGTTAACTAACCGTTAAAAAACCGGTTATGACCGGTTACAACCGACCCTATTATACCCCTTCAAAACGCATCTAAAAGCATGAGAAACGCTAAAAATCTGACAGAGTTATGGTCAAATCTCTAAATTATTGGCTAAAATAGTAGGCTTTCAAGAATATTATTATAAAATTGTCAATTCTTCACCGAATTTAGCGTTCTTGGGCTTGTTTTAAAGCTACGACGCATGGCAATAATGTTTACTGCAAGGAATATAAGAAATATACGCCGTTTTAATCGATTTTCTATTTTTTCGGTCCTAACCGGTTAGTAACTGCAACTAACCGGTTTTCATCGGTTATCTTCGGTCCAGTTAGGTTATTTTGGGTCTGGGAACGAACCCTAACCGGTCTCGGTCTCGGTTAGAGCCCCTGGGCACCCAATAACCTAACCTAACCGGACTTTCAAACACTAATGTAAACCGGTTTTTTTGCGGTCTTGTGATCTCAAATCTGACAGACCAAGACTGCAGGTCCGGTCTTTTGCAGTCTTGGTCCAGTCCAGTTGCGGTCTTTTTGCAGTCTTGGGACTGGACTTCCAAGCACTAATTATTACATGCAAATTCAAAACCTGACACTAATCAGTCCTTGAACTTTCATAGTGCCCTAAAGCGAAGGTCATAGTCGTCCATGATAGCAACTGGTGCTCTGCAATTCAAGATTCCGTGAGCCTTGGACTTCATCAATTAGTTTGGAGTGTAAAGCAGATGATAGGATATCGATTGGACGAGTACAGCCCAAGACCTTCCACGTCGGATACAAGAGGCATTTTATGATGTTGAGAAGGACAATGGTGAGTTTGACTAATTGCGGTGTTGTCAAGGATTGAACCTTTTCTCCTCAGGTACCGTCTACCTAGAAGAGAAAGCAAGGCTATCTCAAGACCTCATAACATCATCTGGTGTCTCTGTCAGAGCAGAGGTCGAAGATCAATCTCTACTCCAACGTCGAAAATCACGGCGTTCACAACTTATCCATCCCTTTGAGACATCCCCGTCTGACGTGGAGATTGATTCCGCTCGGTCGCCCAAGAAAACAGTTAATGGGGATATCAAATCCCACACATGTCGTGGTTCTGGTGAGGCAAGTATTTGGTTGCTCCGCCGCTCTGAATGGGTTTGATGACCATAATCGTTCTCAGGCAAACTTGAAACCTTTGGCGGGAAAGTTAGTGTCCGCGGGTAGCCAATTTAATATTCAGGCACCTTCTGACGATTCCGACGATGGAGTTTATCATGCTGTCTTACCCCTGTGCAGCCGGCAAAATCAAGCTGTGAAGGTGCTTCCTTCCCAGCAACTCACCCCGTACCGATCTAACAATGCTGCATAGGCTTGCAATGCTTCCCACAGGAGCAAGCTTCAATGTGAAGGCACCGGTACGTCTATAACTCATCACTTATTCTGATGACTGATTCAGCACCATGCACCAACTGGTAGGCAGTCCCACTCGTCACAAAATGTCATCCCTCACCATGCATTTCACCCAGCTTTTATGCCTCCAAGAAGTGTACTTTCACTGACGGAGCGGATCCTCCTGTCCTCACACGCCCTCTTCATAAACCAGAATCTGCTTCGCCATCTAACAATCCTTCTCAGCCTTCTCAGTTGTCTTCGGCGAGAGAACGTCTGCTCTTTTCACTGCCATACCAAAGACCAAATAGGAATCTACCAATTCCTCCATCTTTATCTCAACCAGACCACGGGGACCACCATAACGACGCAGAGCGCAAGCGCAAAGGCCCTGTGAGAGGTAGACTTGGTTCCTCTGCGGCTCCCGAGTCATTCACCCAACCCCACAAAACCAACTTCCCCCCTGTTACTTCTATTTGGGACGACAGAAACCCTCTCTCACCCCTAGCTGTAGTCATTGCCCTAATCACCCACATTATTGTATCTAATCCCATGCCATAAACCCTGCATTCCAGCTAGGGGTCTGCAGCATGCATTGGCACCCTGGGTTTGGGCTAGGATTTGTTGGGGTGGGCTTTTGGTAAACATATATAAATAGTCTCTTATTTCCCTTCAAATATATAAAAGTAGGCAAAACACAAAATTTCTCTGTTGCAAAAGTCACAAAACATCGGAAAACAAATCTACTGATATAATTGAATGGATCGAGTCATATTCCCCCACTTCTTTCCACCAAGAACAGCTGGATGCGACATGCCATGTTCGGATGACGAGATCTGGCAAAGACCAGATCAGCTAGAAGGGACTGGTAAATAGATATAAATAAGCAAAAAAGAATATTTTCTTGCCCGAAAAGCCCGATCGTGGACAAAGTCGCGTTCCAAAATCTCAATCCTCCTCCTCCACCAACATCTCAAGACTAGGGTCCAGGGCCGTGAGAGGGGCCTCCCCGCTGTCCTCGTCATTCACCACAGGAACCAGTGGCTTGTCCCACATCCTCGTAAAATGGGCAAGCAAATCTCTCCGCACCTGCGCCTGCCGCGTAGCATAACCCTTGATACCTTCTGTTACAGCAGCGTTGACTGTCCAGGACTCCGTACAACCCTCCCACTGTCGAGCCTCCCAGTCTAGGGTTTTTCGGACTCTCCTCATCTCCTCTTTCAACAGCTGCACCTCTTCGGACCAGCGAAGATACCGTGCTCGTGCCTTTGCCCACTCTATCCTCACAGCTGTAACAAAAGAATATCAGCCTCGAGGAACATACAAAACAGTGTCCACTTACCTTCATGCAGCACTGCATCTGATTCACCCCCCGTTACCGGCGCACGCATCCAAATCCACGACACAGAGCGGTAACCTTCGCCCAAATTCCGCTCAATTATCTTTCTCTTCTTTTTGCTGACTTGCCGGCCGTCGGGCCCAATTACGTCGTTGGGATCTTCGATGCTGATCTCGGTCCCATCTGGGGTGGTCAAGTCCTTGTGCGACAGTTCCCTCAGCTCGTTCTCCCAGGTCCCTGGCCCTATTAGCTTGAACAATGCCGCTCGCGCTTCACGATACTTGACAGCGAGGGCCATGCACTTCGTTTCAACTCGCGTGATGGTTTCTGAGGCTCTGGTGTTAGGGTTTTGGCCACGAATGTTGCGGTTGCGGAAACCGATGAAGGATAGGCGGCCGCGTTGCAGGCTTCAAATCTTCTCTAGGGTGTCGTGGCACTGGGCTTGGCGTAGTTTCATTTCGATGTCCACGAGGTTTCCACAGCAGTTGTGAAGCCTGTGATCGTTGGGCAGAGCAGAAGGCAGCCAGAGTAATTGAAACTCAACTTCGTCTTGAGAGTGTTCTTCGACTCGCAGGGCTTTCTGTGCTTCGTCATGCTGGGCCATCATTAATGATGCCACGGGCATGTACACTGCCTGCAGGTTGCGGAATTGTTTCAGCTGTCGGTGTAGGAGTAGCCGCCGCCGGTGGATGTCATTGCCCTGGCTCAACGTGAGTTCTTCTTCAGCCTGAGCATCCCATGCAATCCGTCGTCTACGTACAATAAATGAGTTGGCAAGGTCCTGGCTATACATCAAATCCACGTACTGAGTGTCTTCGACTAAAAGGCCCATCGTGATGAACAATGTGGGACCTGTGTCGTGGATTTGCGGGATGCCCGCCTTCAATGACTCCTTCTCCTCCAATAGCAACTGCCGCTTCACGTCGTCTTGAGAAGCATCTACCAACCAATCAACAACTTCGCACGTGGGGTAGCAACGAACGAACTTACTAGCAACGACCGACAGGTAGGGGTTTGGCTTTGATGCGTCCTTTTCCCACTCCTTCACCATTTTCGTCCATTTCGGCACGAATTCCTGATCTCGCAGGGACGCAGAGAAATCTTCGAAAATTTTCTGTTGCCGTTTCTGCTCGGGTATCGCCAAGAGTAACCGCGTGTGCAAACTTATACCTAACGAGAGAGTTCATCAAGCTGTAAAACAAACTGAAAACGTGATGGAACGTACCCAAACGAACTTTCTTCCGCCAATTGTGATGTCCAAAGTGGTCGTCGAGGGTGTCATGTCGCGAGCCCGGTCCCATCTCTTTAGTACTATTTGCTACCAGGTTCATTTCTGCCCAGCTCCGCTCAATGCCTTCCCCATCTGTTCAACCAACCCCTGATTTCAAATTCAAAGAATGTGGTGCCTGACAAGGCACCTTATGCATCGGGCAATGGCACTTAGGGATGCCCCAGTCCATGGAAACATTGTCGGGGATCTGGATGTCCTTGGGCAACTCGGCCATTCGGTCACGGAACTTGAGCTTGAATTGACAAGCAATGTCGTAGGAGACGAAGACGGCGAGCAATGTGATTGGTGCAAGTGCACCTAGCAGGATGTAGTCCATATTGCAAAACCTGAGGGAAACGATGAGCATCGCATGACATGCAGGGTTGGCCTGAGAACGTACCTTTCACCTTTCTGGAGGTCGCCAACCCCATTCGCTCGAACAAATTCATGTCGAGCACAGATGCACATTCCCACACCGGTTGAGCGCATTCCTCCTGAGAACTTCGTTTCTGCGTGAGCTAGGGTCTTGAAGCCGCTGCAGGTGCTTATCTGTACAGCCATGTCAGACCTCCTGGCAGTCAGATAGTATCGAGGTGACTTACATCTTTTTGGGACGCGTACTTCAAGATGTGCTTCCGATATGGTTCGTCATCAGGGAAGTAGGCGAGGCCTGTATGTAAACCCGGATCCCTTGCAATACTTGATCGCATCAAGTTCTTCAGGCGGAAGTTGGCGTCCAACGCCACAATCAGGAGGTAAAGAAACCTATTTCTGATTGAGAAGTACGTACAGGACAGACACAGTGATACTGACTTTAATTCCAGTGGGGCCTCCTTCCAATCCTCAGGTATATTGACATCTGGAATCGGACACGCAGGGCATGCAACCGCCAGGTGACCAGATTGCGTTGTGATGAGGCCGTTAGCCAAGTTCCCCCGACCCGCGCGCTTCATGAGTTTCAGATGACGCCACATTCTGATCATCCTCATCAATGCCCTATACCGCGTCTAGGTGAAGGTCGTTAGGAATCGAAATCACGAGGTTAGTCTGGGGGAACATCCACCTTGGGAACATTGATATCAAGATTGTCGGTTAAGTGTTCGAGCGACTTATAGAATTCATGCGCCGAGAGTTTCCCCGTCAGAGTAACAATGTGGAAGAGGTTGAGAAGTTGGAATGTCGCACAGGTTTGGGGCTGATAGACGGTTGCGGGAAACCATTCACACCGCAAGAGCTGTTGACGATGCGGGATTCGCTCATTGCAACCACAGAAGTCCACAGCGACATAATGAAGGCCGTTTGTGTGCAAGACAATGAAGTCTTGATGCCCAGGAACCGGTAAGACACACGGTGAGTTGACGTGGCCCAGCTGCACGCGCAAACCCATAGCTTTTAGTGAAATTTTTTGAAAATATACGTTGTCCCACTTCTACTCAAATAAATCAGTCAAAGCCACTCTAACGATGAAAGGACAACACGACATACCCATATGATATGAAGCGGAAGGTCCTTGTGCCTTGCTAAGCAACATCCTAAGCATTCCAGTCTCCCACCCAAACATTCGTCGCATCGGAACACGCCACACGGCCCTTTGCACGACATACAGGTTCCCTGCCTCGAGTCGCCACGGCCCTCTAACCTCAACATCTCCAATAAGAACTCCTCCCGGAAGCCGGGGTCTTCTTTGGTCTTCCCAGACCACTCTTGAAGAGGTGCATCCTGCACAATTGAGGGAATGGAGTTGAAATGACGACAATAACACTTACCGAGGTTGGATATCGCTTAGAAGCCACCTTGGCGGCCACGTCTGATGCTTGTGCTGATGTAGACCCTGCGATGTGGGCGTGCTGAAAACTCTCATCCAACTCTTGCAGGTCGTACTGAGGACTTGGATTCCAGTGGTAACAAGGAGCTGGCTGGGCAAAACGGCAAGACTTCTGAGGGGAGCGTGGGGTTTGCTGAATACGGCGGTGGTTGGCTGAAAGAGTAACGGTGCGTGCTTGTGGAATGGCGATGTCGCCTTCGCCTAAATCTGTGTCGCGGATGACCACATAATTCTTTCCGTTTCGGCGTCGTCCCCGCATGTCGTTATTGTACTTACGGAAGCAAGGTCGACTTGCATAAGCAAATAATATTTAATTCCCACAACCGTTTCAACAAGTCAAGGGCGAGCACTTCGCCCTTGACTTAGTGAATATGTAAGTAAGGCTACAAATATACATTGACTGTAAAATACTAGGCACTAAAAAACATCGTCCATGGCCTCTTTCCTGCCCTCCAACCTCCCCTCCTCACGAGCCCTTGACAACACGACGATATGCTCAAGCTTAATGAACGTCACATCTTTGTCTGGGTTCCAAACAGTCGGAAGTTCGTCCAGGATTTCTTGAATGGCGGCGTTTAGTTCCTTCTCCCACTGTGTAGTCGCTCCCTCTTCTAAGTCCGGTTTGGAGGCACGCGAAGGGAAGAGGAAAGTGGACCATCCCAATTTCGTCCTAAGCAGCTGGGCGGAATTCAGCATCAAGGGTGTGATTAACGAAAGAAACACGAACCTTTTCGCGTGCCTTGATGATGTGTGCTTCATAATTAGGGTTGTCTTTGAATGCTTCTTCAACCTTGATTTCCGGCTCTACCTCAGGAAAGCGAAGAAACCAAACGAGGTACGCTTTCTTAAGATATTCCTCCGCTTCTCCCTCGCTGATGGCAGAGGCAAAGCTGGGCCGTAGAAGGCGCAAGACGCGATCTTGTTTGGCTTTCAAGGCACACTTGACGTCGCTGGCGGATGGAGCCCTTGGCGTTGGCTCGATAATCTAGGGAGATCGATCGCGATGTCAGGGTCTAGCGCACATGGAGTAAAGTATCTCCGAGATCTCACCAGCTTTTTCCTTTCCATCTCCATTTTCCGGCGGCGTTCACCTAGCGTCAAGAAACAATCTGGGTGTATAGCAGCAGCAGGAGCGGGTTTTTTCTTGAGAGAGACCTTCGGCATTGAGGTATGTGTGAAGAGCGAGAGGGCGATTGTAGAAGTACCCGCCAAACCTTAATTTTGTGGCTGCAACTGTATAGTAAACAATCACGCGTATTCGGGGGTGGGTCAAAAGGTGTACATTAACGTAGTTGAGGCAATAGATCAATAATCTGTAAGAGGTCCAGCTCGGTATTCAGACTGATAGGCAAAAACACCTCTATGATACCCATCTTCAAATTGCGATGGGATTTGAACTACGGCAGATGCGTGAACGTCCTCCAAAAGAGTTAAAAGGTTCCGGTACTCGTTGGCTGTCTCGTTAGCCATCCTATACTCCTCGCTGCAACCATAATCTTGAAGGATCTCGGCCAGGGCGTCACAGATCTGAGAAAGAGATTGTTCCCACATGTGTTCCGCCTCCGTCAATAAGCCGATCGCACCATCTGGGGCTCTTATGCATGCCTTGACGATCTTATCAACATATCCAAAGGGTGAGCCATTGGTAACATTGACAAGATGCATCCGGCGTTCCTCGACGAAAGCTTTCCGCTCCAAGCTGCAGAAGAGAACCTTGTGTAACCCTCGTCGACTAATAAGCAGAAGACGCACGTTATTTCATTATGGAACTCGCCTGGGCCAGGTCCATTCTCGGGTTCAGAGGGATTCAGAACATCCTGATTTGTTTTGACTTTTTTACGGTACTGGCGGCGCCGCGTTTTGCAGAGGGCGCTGCGATTACTATCAAATAGAAAAAAGAGTTTCATGTCATATTCAGCGTCATCACGGCAAGGAGACAACGTACTTATGGTAAAATACTCTGGAAGAGCGCCGATGCGCCTCTCGCCTTTCCTCAGGAGTGTTGTACAGACGAGGACGCCCCATAGGTGACGTTGGAACGACGATGATTGAGTTCAAGGAAAGGCAAGACCAAACATGGATACACTTAACTTCCGTCTGATATTTTCCTTTCTTCATGGGCAGCTCATAACCTAAGAAGGAGAGAAATATACCAAAGGGAAGCCCTGAAAATTCTGACTCTCCTGAGGTAAAAATCATGTTGAGATGTTGTGGTGTGCTGTTGGGAAAGTAAGCACGCACTTTAATAACTATCAAAATGAGAGCTCAGAGCGAGCAACCAATCGTCGTTCTTCTGATTTTTACTCTGCGAGACTCCCTCTCCCTCAAATTATAGCCAAATAGTAAGGAACATACCTCTAGAGATCCCATGCAAAGTATTAGCCCATACACCTCTGTTTTGAGACCTCTACAGCAACCTCAAGTTATGTTTTCGCATGCGATTAATTGGAAATAGGCTATTTATGGAAAATGCCAGGGAAACATTGTACGACTGGTATACTAAGTTCGTCTCTCATCATAGGACCATACGCAAACTGTAAGAGCTGAACACAATATATTTTTTGGCAAGATTTACGAGATATCAACGGGATCACGACTACAAAACCACAAAGACTGCACAACTACACACTGGCTACAAACGCGCATGAAGACAGGAATACAAGAGTACGGTACGAAGATATCAGACACGGCGGGCAGAACCTGCAACAATGGAACTCTCCATCCTCACTCGCCCCTCCTCTGCAGAAGAAACACGGAAGGAGACCGAAGCCGAGACACGAGTGACAAGGGGAGATGTATTTTCCCTGATGATTCAAAGTCAACGACCCAGAAGGAATCAACAAAAAAAAAACGAACCAGCCAACAAAAACACCAATATCGCGGCCGCGAACCAGCGTTAGGCCGCCGAGAAATATAGGACGTGGGCTGGGGGAAAGCAGCCAAGACATCCAACATACAATCAATCGTCTTTATGACTAGACAAAAGCGTGAGTTCAGCATCCCCGCGAGTGGACCCCTGCATGAATTTCGACTCCTCGCCAGGATTGTGGAACAAGTCATCGACAATATCTCCGGCCGACACAGTAATGGCCACAGGAAGACCGTTGGAGTTTCCAAATAAACTCTTGTCAGTCTTCATTTGGCGATTCATGGCCATAAGGAAGGCCTTCAGCTCTTTGTCATCTGGACAATTTGGAGGAGGAGAATTGATTTTCATGTCGGACAGCCGAGGAAATGGCTCCAGAAAGGCAAAGGGCTGGTTTTTGGATTACGAGCAAAAACGAATCCTCCTCTGGCTCTAATTTGTGGTGAGCATGAGGCGATGTCCCGCGCAATTTTCTTGTGCCAGATTTATCGGGACTCTGCTGCGCTGGGTGAAGACTGGTCAAGGTTAGTACATTGTCCTCGCTGACGAGAAGAAAGGCCAACCTCGCGTTTAAAAGAGGTGTCAATGCCATGGCCTAAATAACATCAGGTCAAAAGTGAGTAGGATGTTCTAGGATGTTGTCCAGAGGATACATGCCTGAATGGGCGATGCCGCTCAACTCCCCCCAGTGTCAAGCTTTTTTCTCGATCCGGGGGTACGTTCCTGACCGAAACCGACGCGTCCAGTCCGAGTCGTGTGGCACACGATGTGTCTGAGTGAAATCCCACAGCTGAGTGTACTTCCGATGAGTCAAAATCTTTTTGAGATGTGAAGCACACGCACTGGTGGAAATCGTAACCCTGCTCTCAAATCTCCGTTGGGTTTGATATCCCCTTGACCACCAGACCCAGCGCACTTGATGTTCGGAAAAAGAGATGGCCTAGTAACGAAGTCAGACCAATACATTGACTCCAGGATCAAAATTGACCCACCCTTCGCTTGCCATTGCGGAGAGGTCATTTTCTTTGAAGGAACTTTTGTGGTACCTCTCCCGGAGTCCCTTATTTGAAGGTTTGCACCCTGTTTAAACCTATGGGTCCGTTACGGGTCCTTCTTGGGTGCAAACCACTAAATTCCTGACAAAACACGTTAAGATATTGTTGCGGCATTACATGACCATCTGACCTAACCGAAGATAACTCCTCGTCGTTTTTCTGCATAATTGCAGGAGGTTCTTAGTGATCCACATGGTCGTTGATTATCCTTGATGATGAGACGTGTCCCTTTGTGGCATGTTACCCTGGACAGAAAACAAGGAATGGAACAAGTTACAATGATGGCGATGCTTGAAATGTTGAGGAGTCGATTGTCGAGGAGGATGGATGGTGGTGAGAAGCAGATGGCAAGCCGTGCGAACAGTCTAAGATGATGTTGGTCAATGTCCTTTTTAATTACTTACTTATGAGGGCAAACACCCTTCTTCTTCGAAGACACAATCTCATCGTCATCGGCGTAGGTAGATGCAGCTCTGATGCTATAATACTTACCACCAACATCAACTTGGCCTTCCTACGGGCACGACGAAGTTCCTTGCAAATGAGGCCATGGTGCCATGTCTGGAACCAATTTTAAAAAGAATCAAAAATCAAAAACTCCATATCTTGTGCACTATAAATTATGTTATTTTAAAGGGTGGCTTAGCTCAATGGAAAGATCTGATTAAGACTGATAATGTATTGCAAGGTCTCTGGTTCAATTGCTGCAGGCTGCAATTTCTTTTCTCAAAAATATATTTGCTCTTACTCTCCTATTTGCATATTTATGCACCAAAAATCTCACACCACCACTTAGAAATTTATAAACACCAGAAAGTATGGATATAAGTAACTCAAACCAATAGATTGGGAAAGAATTCATGAGAATTGACATTTTCCCCTTCCACCTCTTCCTGCACATGCATACATCTGATCCTCTCTTGCAGAATCAATGCAGGCCATGCACCTCCTTTTTCTTGAAGTAGAACTGGATAATCCTAGTTGTGCTTTCTACTGTAAAAATTTACCTTGTGCATTTTGGCCAAAAGAAATAGGAGAAATTCTCTGCTGAAGGCTCCTCTGGGTGTAAACTTAGAGGTTTTACCCAACATATATAACCATGCCTGAGGACATGGATGCCAAGGAAACTGATGCAATACCTGTTGCTGAGAGTGCAGACATATTTACTTCGATCCAAATTTTCATTCCCCAGGGCTGTTAGTGATGTTGATTCCCCATACTCTCATTATAAATATATAAAAATGGTTCAAGAACTCTGCAGCATAGCTTGGTGCTTGAATCCTCTGCTAGATTTTCCTCCTTTTATCTATTCTTTTTTTTTAGTTGATTTATGGTAAAAAATTCAAAGTCCTCATGCATTTTATAAAAATTATTCTTACAATTGGCCTTTCCTGATAACAGGGAGCCATAGCTTTGAAATTAGGATCCTGAGTAGGTGAGAACCAGACACCATGGAGGGTTACAGATGTTTCTTCCATTTACTTTTTATTTGTGATCTGGCATCTCCTGCCTTGTGCTCTTCCTCAATATGAGTACCTCTGCAATGGCCTAATTTTTTAGTGCTACTTTGCATGTTCAACAACGGAAATTGGTGCAGTAACAAGCAAGATAGATGTTGAGCATGCAGAATTAGTATTAGTAATCGTGTGACCCAAGCAAGATGTCACATGTAAAAGATGCCTAATTCGTTCACAATAAGCCGGATATAGACATAAATTCTGAAATGGAAGGTAGGGTCTGATGGGACTACCGCTTTGAGAATTATGTCCAAATCGGGCATCTTTTTGGTTCCAGACATGGCACCATGGCTGCAAATGATGCCTTTTGCGATCTTTCCCATATTTAAGACCAAGACAATGGGCACGAGAATGTGCGTACCTCCACCTGCAATCCACCTGCACATCTAACAGAACGAATTTGTATGCAAGTACCTCGCAGACTAGATGGGGACCTTGATATATCCGAGTTTATTGAGTCAATTATTTTGATACAGTAGAAGTTCTCATAACGCATAACGCTGGGAAGGGCCAATTTCCGATGCATTATTAGATTTATGTCAGTGTAGATAGGTGTAACAAAATGTGACCGTGACATATTGTGTGACTCTAGTGTGACTCTCTGCTGGTTCAGCGATGTCTGCCTTGCCTTCACTGTCTCCACCCTCCTCAGTTGGATTTGGAGCACCCTCAGGCTTTGAGAGAGGTCTAGAGAGGTCTCTTTGTCTTCATATTTGAGAGAGAGGCATTCCACTTTCTCACTTAAACTCCTCAACTCACATATTCTGATGTCCTCCTCCTTCTTGTCATCAGACTCAAATTCCTTGAACATGTCTGAGACAAATACTTAACATATACTGACAGCAAAATTTCTAGCAAAAGATTGATTAGATAGCACTCAATCATGGTCTCCCCAAGATAAAGGACTTATCTCAAATTTTTTACAAAATAATCACTTAAATTATTGTCAGTGTTGCCTAATTAACCCCAAAATATTCTATCTCATACTGCATATTTGCCCTCAAAATGTTATGCATTATGCGATATGCGAAACCCAAGACTAACCAACATGGGAAGAGCCCAAATGTGATGCTTCATGAGAATTATGCATGCATAGATCATGCACTATGAGAACTTCTACTGTATATACAAAAATTGCTGATAGATCTTATAGCATATTTGACCATAAAATATATACTCAGGTGAATCCATGTCATAATTGTGCAATGTAAAACCTAGGGCCTGAGTATTACGCACATATCAGTAAGTTCGCACGGGGTGTCCATGCTGTGCAATGTGTAAACACGGCCAACTACTTGTGGATTAGGTCATCATCTACATTTTGGAGTTGGTTAGCAGCACAAAGGGGAGCAAGCTCCCCAATAAACCATCTATGTAAACACTGACAGGGACGCATTAACCAGGGTAGCAGAGGCCCTTGATAGATATATGCGCCCTAAACTCAGATTGCAACTCGGAGGAAGTGAGTCAGATGTTACAAACGAATGAACAAAAGATGAGGAATGTGCGTGAGGATTTGGGGGAAGGGTGGCCAGCTCCAGGGGGGCTGAATCTCTGCAGGAAGTGTGAAGAGAGAGCGCGAACCAGAAGGGTTGGAGGGCGAGAATGACATGAGAAGAATAGTTCAAATATTATCACAAGCGATGCACACTGGAAAGGGTGGTAGCCTATACCTCCGCGGTAGATATAAGAAGAGAGTGCGAAGTACATTACAATTGTAAAGGGGAGCATGACCGGGCATAGTTACCACGCGGTCTGTCCCCTACGTAGGCCTTTCGACTTTCACAATTGAATTGTCTTCAAGTTGATTTGACTATGACGTCGCTTTTGACAGCAGGGCCTTGAGGTACCGCAGGCATGTTCTAGTCTCCCGATGTCAGACTCCGATATGAAGTTGATGATAGTCGATCAATTTCATATGGAGTCTGCTTTCAAACGCGCCCGCAACATGGGCGTAGATTATTCTCACGGCATTTATTCCCACGGTTCAAGACAGCCCGTTAAAAAAAAGTTGTCATGTGATCGCTTCGCGCGACACGTCTTGTAGATCAAACAGAAATAGAGGTTGCAATTTCGAGTTTTCCATGGCTCAATGTCCGTGAAACCGGCCCCAATCCCACCTGAGACACCTCATCAACAAAATATTCTTGCACCGATCATTCCTACCCCATTCTGGAACTACAATGGAGTTTTAAATAGTTCATTCTCTCCATTTCCTTATTCCCTGTCCTTCCCAACTTGTTCCTAGATTTGAGGATTAGTATATTTACAACATTAGAGGTATGAAGAGCCAATACTTGGTCTTCCTCAAGTGCAGTTCTTGGATATATAGCAAGAATGGCTGGATTGGAGGGAAAATTCGCGGATGGACAAAGGGTAGGATCCTCCAGGATAGCAAGTATGACATGCATAAGCATGTACATATATGCAGATCTCCCTGATCCCGTTGCCGAGATCGCAAGGAGGTTGTTTCTGTCGAGCATTGAGGTAATGCCCTGAAGTTGGTAGTCATGTGGACCAGATGACGTGTTTATGTTGGATTTGGCGGGAGAGGGCCCACCCCTCTGCAGAGTTGAATGTAAACTTTTTGGTTGCAGGTGTTTCAGGCATTATTGCCAGAGAAAACACGTATAATTCGTCGACGAAGCACAACTAATTAACAACGCGACGCGGTCCGTGGGAACAAAACGTGACCATTATTTTTACGCCCATGTTGACCTTACCACAAGGCCCAGACTAGGCATGTTCAAGATTGCTGTCGGTAAGTTGCAAATGATCATCGATCAGGAATTTGAGACAGGAATGAGACGACGAAGAGTGGCATAGAAGGGGAAACGGGTCCGATTAAAAGGTAGGAATCTTAACAGCTAGTTGTTATCCTGAGTCCTGACGCGACTCCTGATTATCGTAGAACTGCTGGCTAATGCAACCCAAGGCTCAGCAAAGAAAAAACGCGCGCATTTTAAGAATCAACTCACTTCGTTGGCAACTGTTGCGTAGACTGAGCTTGGTAAGTGGTCGAAATACCATAATTCCCAGATGGATCTCGTCCGAAGCGGGTTGGCGACGGTGACTGCGTGTAGGGAAAAGGCAAAGGCGGGGTAGCGAACGAGAAAACTGGATGCCTAGGGTACATGTTGGGCGGCGTGTTATGGTGGCCTGTGTTCTGGGCAGAGGTTGGGTATGGTTCGAGTTGACTGGAAAAGCGTGGCTGGGGATAGGGATAGGTCGAGTCCACGAAAGAGAGTGGTTGAGCGTAAAGCGGGGTAGCTGGGGGACGGCTTGATTCGTAGTATGGATAGCAATCCGTCTGTGCTGGCGGGGGCTGACTTCCCCTCTGTTCCGACTCTGGGGTGACAGTCAAGTACTGGCACGGCTGATTTTTTTCTTTGCACCTAGTACACCGCCGAGGAGGTTCCTCATTGGGTACAGGAATGCACTTGACGGAATAAAAACTGAGTAAGCAATTTGAAGTGAGGCCGCAGAGGCATACCTTTACTTTGCGGTCGCGGCATTTAACGCATGCTATGGACGCTCTCTTTATCAGTGGTTTCGCTTTATAGGTTGAGCCCACCAAAGGGGGTGGCTGAGACGACAGCGGGGTAGCTAGGGGGGGGTGAGCAGGGCTTGACCCATAGTAATCGGTCTGTTCGAGTGTGCTCAAACTTGCCCTCTGTTCCATAGTGTTCTTTCCACCAGGAGCGTCAACTTGCATGTCTGAAGGGGATGTTTCGAATGAATCGGAAGATTGCGAAGACCCTGGCTTTCGATCCTCGACCTCTGATTTGACAGAGACGTCACATGATGTACTGAGGTCTTGAGCTGGTGTTTTTTCTTCTAGGTACACGGTACCTGGGGAGAAAATGTGGAATCCTTGACAACACCGTAGTCAATCAACCTCACCGTTATTCTCTTGAACGATATGAAATGCCTCTTGAATCCGACGTGGAAGGTCTTGGGCTGTACATGTCCAATCAACATCCTAACATCCGCTTTACACGTCAAATCAATTGACGAAGAGATCACGGCTCACTGTGTCGCGAATCACCGAGCACCAGTCGCTGTCATGGACAACTACAACCTTCGCTTTGGGACACTATGAAAGTTCAAAGATTAATCAGTGGCAGGTTTTGCGTTTGTGTGTATTGTTAAGCGCCACCTTTCGCATCATCATGTCAATAACATAGGTTGCGGGATGAGTTGCTGCTGTCTTCGAAATAGTGAACATTCGAGGATGGTATGATACAACCAGAATTGCTGACCTGTGCAGGGGTCATTGAATCAGTCTCCTCGGAGTTACCTCCGCGACCATAACCACGCAAGAAGCCCATGCGACCTTGAAAATGATGTCGGTTGGAGTGCCCACAATCAGGGGAAGCAGAAGACAGCGTACTTGAAAGAGAACTTATGGCGCCTGAAACTGAAGGGAAAGGGCTCTGGGGGGATCGCACCGATGCTTGATCCTTTACTAAAGACGCTACCTTCAATTCGATACGCTCCCAGTCATCAGCACCGATAGCAGCGGTATGCGTCCGGATGAAGGTGCACTGATTTCGTGGAGGCTCGGAGCCGGTGACCTCCAAATTCATAAGCTCATCCTTTTCAGGACCAGACTTCGCCTCTAGCACGCTTGCATAATCCCATTCGTACGTTGTATATGAAGAGTGTCGACCTTGGCCTTCGTTACCAACAGGATGGAACCTTAAGAGGGACACGTTGCCTTCAGGACATTTCGACTGGAGACGCGAGTAGGTTGCGATTCCCCACGAAATTGTCTTGTCACACCCCGTGACCACGCGAAGTTCCTTGTTCCCAACTTGTCGACCGCGCCCTTTCGCGTACACATACCAGCTTTCAGCGTGGATCGATACGTATTCTCTAAATGTCATAATGTTTTGCAAATCTTCGTGGTATGCCCCTTGAGGCATCACGAGAATAGCGCCGTCAGAACCAGAGCATTCAAACGTTGTCCTGCTACAACATTCGTTACTAGTACCCCTGGGATGTGGAAGGGATCAATGACTTACTCTCGCCTGTTGACAGCCCGATTGGCTAAATGGCTGTGCGAAAGATGAACAGGGAATTTGCAAATATCTGTTGATTTCAACTCAAACGGAAAAAAGCCTTCGGGAAGTTCGTCAGGGTTACTTGGGTGCCCAGCGGGCGAGCAGGCATTAAAAAGGTAGTCGAAGGCCCCATCTGTAGTGATAATCCCAACATCGCCAATGCTGACACCTTGCTTTTGATATGAGGGGGGGAGTGTCATGTTGGGCTGAGGAATATAAAGAGGAAAACCATGCGCTTCGAGATACATATGACGCTGGTAGATGGAGTTACTGGATTCTTCTTTAACGGAATCGCCTTCCCCTGTGGGTGGAGACTGCCCGGCGTCAGCCGTTGGGCATGCTAAGAAGAGAAAAAGCCAACCTCGATTTCGGGAGATACTTCGTTCCCACCAAGACCTAAATGGCATCATCACGGAGTAAGAATCGAACCCAGTTTCTCTTGGAAAACCATTGAGAGAGTACGTACCTGAATCGGTGGACACACTGGACTCTTCCAACGAGTTCCGTTCTTGGTTTGATGCGGGCGAAGTGCTCGAACAGGGCAGATCCCTAACCGAGGATGAATTGCTAGCATGAGGTGGGTCTCCAATCGAGCCCGAAGTGATAGAATTGCTGACGGCCAAGGTCGAACGTGATGTGTCGGAGTCAGATCCCCCAATATGGTTATCTAAGTGCTTCCCAATGATTAGGACGTCTTGGAAGATACGAAGCATATGTACTGATAATGAATGTATTCCTATTGTGGTCCCTCTGTGAGGCGGCAAATTCCCCACCGTGCACACTTGTGGATGAAGCATGCGAGAGAAAGGATGCCCTAGCAACGGTTTAGAATGATTAGTTGCATGCAAGTTGAGAACCAACGTACGAGCTTGTGCTCTGTACTCGAGGCGCGGCCCTCGTATCGCGGACTGTCGAGGTGGACCTAGTCCTACGTCTCTTTGACTTCATTTCAACCTAACGATTTGGAGGTGCCAATTAACCATGCGTAAGCACAGGTTTGCCTGGGCGCTTTCAGTCAAGGCGCATTTCCCATGCTCACTTGCCGAGTTTGTCATCGCTATTCAAGATATTGGTGCCTGTTTCCATTGCCTCCTTGTGACCGCAGGTCGCGCTGGCGGAACGCGTTCTTGCGCGACTTTTTGACCTCAGCAGCTCAATGTGAATGGCGGAGTATTGAAAAATGAACGAGGGAAACGAAACGCGGTCGGGACTGATGTAAAACGTCGGGTTTTCATGGGCTTTGGGTTTCCGTGACCCGTCCTCGTTTTTCACGACTGGTCCTTCGATTTCCTGGCAGTGTCGTTCATAAGATTTCCTTATGTTCGTCAACGCTGCCTCAGAAAGTATGACGAACTAGATGGAGTGGCAGCAAATCAGAGGTTTTGAATTGAAAAACACAATCAAGTGGCAGAATGCCGCAGGCCTCACGGGCATTTGACCAAAGAACGTGGTGTTGATGCAGATGCTGCTGTTGATCTTGTCGCCCTCGCCCCCATCCTCTTTTTGGGTTTTGTAGATGTACAGGAGCCTGATGGTGCTGAGATGGTGTTGAAGACGGAGTGAAATCCAATAAAATGACAAGAAGAATTCGAAGACCGAAATCATGATGAAAAGTGCAGGCGAAAACATTTGGTACCATAGCACTACTAGCTAAGTACGTAGGGGTGGAAATCATAACCCTGCTCTCAAGATATCTTTTGGATTTGCTATGTAACCCTTGACCATCAGACCCAGTGCACTTGAAGACGAAATGTGCGGAAAAAAACATGGCCTAGTATTAGTGACGAAGTCAGACCAATATATAGACTCCAAGATCAAAATTGACGCACCCTTCGCTTGTCATTGCGGAGAAGCCTTTGTCTTTTTATTACCAAGGGGGCTTCTATGCTACCTCTGTCGTCCCCTATTTTGGAGTTTGAACTTTTCAAACGGTCCGTCATGGGTCCTTCTTGGGTACAAACCACAAAACTCCTAACAAAACACGTTAAGATAGTATTGTGGCATAGATGAGCATCTGGCCTAACCGGAGATGATTCCTCGTCGTTTTCCTGCATGTCCACACAGTCGTTGATCATCCTCGTTGATGAGACGTGTCCGTATGTGGAACGTTTCCTGCACATAAATCGAGGAAGGAACAAAGTTACAACGATGGCGATGCTTGAGATGTTGAGGAGTCGTCGACGTTTGTAGATGGAGAGTTCGAGAGGGTGGTCGTGGTAAGTGGCAGATGCCAAGAAGTGTGAATGCTTTGGACATTTTTGATCGTGTTCGCGTCAGCTTCCTGGCACCAAGGACTGGCACGGTGATGGTCGAATCCATGACAAACGGCACTGGACACCATCGCGTAGAGCTTGACGCGGACGGTTATGCATTCAATTCCGAGTCCCGCCTCCTATCATCGACTTCAAAGTTACTGTCGTCCCGTTCCACTGGCATCCACATTCCACCAGCACTAGCACCGTCAAAGAGACAATCTTATTGTCATCAGCATTGGAAGCTGCAGCTCCGATATCTCGCCCTAGAAAACAATGGGGCGCATGGATATAAATGGACCTCCACTACGCATCTAACATTAACCATCGATTCTACGTAGGTACGCGGAGTCATACACCGACAAGGGCGCAGTAACCCAAGAAGCAGAGAGCCAGCCATACATATATGCGCCCTAGACTCAGAGTACGACTTGGAGGAAGCGAGTCAGATGCTACAAACGAACAAAAGGCGAGGCATGTGCATGAAAGGTTTAAAGTGAGGGTGGCGAGCTCCTGAAGGGCTGAAGAGGTCTCTGCAGGAGGTAGGGAGAGCGAAGCAGAAGGGTTGGAGGGGAAGGTGACGAGCTTGTGGGGGGCTGAACGAGAATGGCATGAGAAGAGTAATTCAAATGCCATTCCGGCGGTGGGGAAATTATGAACTCGCAGAGGGACCATAACAGGGCTACATTGAATTTCAATATCAGTACGCATGCTTCATATCTTTGAAGTCCTCCTAATCATCAAGCACTTAGGTATTGGGGGGTCTGACTCTGACACATCTTCTGGGTTGTCCGTCAGAAATCCCCTCATTTTGGGCTCGGTTGGAGACTCGCCTCGTGGTAGCACTTCATCCTCGGTTAGGGATCTACCCTGTTCTAGCACTTCACCTGCATCAAACCAAGAGCAAAGCTCGCCGGAGGAGTTCTGTGCGTCCCCCGATTCAGGTACGTGGTGTCAATGGTTTTCCATGAGAAAACTGGGTTTAGTTCTTACTTCGTGATGATGCCATTCAGGCCTTGGTGGGAGCGAAGTATATCCCGAAATCGAGGTTGGCTTTTTCTCTTTTCAACATGCCCAACCTGCTGACGCCGGGCAGTCTCCACCAACACAGGAGGGCGATCCAGTTGAAAAAGAATCCAGTATCTCCATCTACCAGCGTCACATGTGTCTCGAAGGGCATGGTTTTCCTCTCTGGATTCCTCAACCCAACATGAGGCTTCCTCGCTCATACCGACGACAAGGTGTCAGCATCGGTGATGTTGGGATCTTCGCATGGGATGGTAGCTTTGACTTTCTTTTCAACGTCTGTCTCCCGGCAGGACATCCCAATAACCCTGTCGAGCTGCCCGAAGGCTTCACTTGCCTTGTGCTCAGACCTGCAGATGTTTCCGAGGTTCGTGCCCATTCTTCGCACAGCCATATGGCCAGCACGTGCTGCACGTCTATACAAAAACAGGGGTTAGTCGCCTATCCCTTCTACATCTCAGAGGTGCTCATGAGGTTCTAGTGAAAAAACATTCGAGTGCTCTGGTTCTGACGGTGCCGTTCTAATCATGCCTCAAGGAGCTTATCACGAAAATTTGCAAAATATCAGCAGATTCAAGGATTACGCATCGATTCACGTTGAAAGCTGGTATCAGTATGCCAATGGACCTAGCGGTCGGGAAATTGATAATGGCAAACTTCACATGGTAACAGGTTGTGACAAGACCACCGCTTGGGGAATTGCAACCTACTCGCATCTCCAGTCGAAACGTCCTGAAGGCAGCGTAACCTTGTTAAGCTTTGACGTTGTTGGTGATGAACGTTATGATCAACAGCCTTCGTATCCTACGTATGCTTGGAACTACAAGGGCATAGTGGAGGCGAAGGTTGGACCCGAAGAAGATGAGCTTATGGACCTAGGCGTTCAAGGCTCAGCCCCTCCACGAAATCAGTGCACCTTCATTCGATCTCTTACCCTGAAACTTGGTCATGATGGCTGGGAACGTTTGCAATTGAAGGTAGCGGCTTCAAAAGCGAAAGAGCGAGCATCGGCGCAGCCTCCCAAGAACAGTGCCATAAGTTCACTTCCAGGTATGTTGTTTCCTGTCTCTTGTGATTGTGTGCATTCCAACTGATAACATTTTCAAGGCGGGATCAGCTCTTTCCGTGGTCATAGTCGCGGAGGTAACTCCGAGGTCACCGACTCAATGACCCCTGCACAGGTCAGCACTTCTGGTTGTATCAGACCCCTCTTCAAATATTCGTTATCTTGAAGACAACAGCAACTCACCCCGCTACCTATGTCATTAACATGATCCTGCGAAAGGTGCCGCTTATTATTACATGCAAACTCAAAGTTTGCCACTAATCTGTCCTTGAACTTTCATAGTGCCCCACAGCGAAAGTTGTAGTCGTCCATGACAACGATTGGTGCTCTGTGATCCGAGACTCGGTGAGCCGTGAACTTCATCGATTGATTTGAGGTGCAAAGCGGATGCTAGGATGTCGATTGGACGTGTACAGCCCAAGACCTTCCACGTCGGATTCAAGAAGCATTTCATATCGTTGAAGAGAAGAATGGTGAGGTTGACTAAATACGGTGTTGACAAGGTGTCAACATCATTTCCCCAGGAACCGTCTACCTAGAAGAGAAAGCAAGGCCATTACAAGACCTCAGGACATCATCTGGTGTCTCTGTCAGAGCAGAGGTCGAAGATCGCCCTTTACTCGGAAATCGAAAATTATGGCCTTCGCAACTTTTCGATCTTTCTGAGACATCCCCGTCTGACATGGAGGTTGACTCCCCTCGGTCCTTCAAGAAAACATTTGATGACAACGAAGATATCAGATTCCACACATGTCATGGTTCTGGTGAGGCAAGTGTTTAGATGCTCCGCTGCTCTGGATGAGTTTGACGACTATAGTCGTTCTCAGGACGACGACAATGACTTCGTTGAAAACTTCCTTCTACTTGAAGATCGAAAACAAAGGTCTTCGCAAAATTTCGACTCCTTCGAAATATCCTATTCGAAACCCCCTGGAGTCTTCAAGAGTTTCTTGGCCTCTCCTCATGAGTCTAACATCGAAGAGTCGGCTGACGATGTCAATGATGATGCGAAATCTGACTTGTTTGAGGATTCAACCCAGGCAAACTTGAACTACCTGGAGGGAAAGTTAGTTCGCAGGGATGCCGAGTTTCATATTCAAGCTCCTTCTGACGATGAAATATATCACATGTCGCATGATACCTTGCCCGTGCCCACCTCCCAAACATATGAATGGCAAAATGCTGATGGGGGTGATGTCATGCCCCACAACAACTTTTCCAGCTCCAGTGGACGAAGCGCATCTCACCTCCTGGTGGAGGAGGAGTTTTCACGAGGCATCGTCAGAGGTAGACTTAGCCTCTCTCCAGCTAACAGTTCAAACCGTCACGATCCCGAATCATCCACCCAACTCCACGAAACACTTGAAGATCTAGAACCAGGAAATGCAGCAGGTGTTAGAGATCATATCATGTCTGACTCAGCCCCTGGTACTGAATATGGCGCACCAATATCCGACTTGTTGGGCACTGATCCTCTCGCCGAAAAGGTCCTTCCACTGGCCCATAGTCAGTCTGCCGGTGCAACCCACCCGCGTACGACGATTGCCACGCAGAGACAACGTGCGGCAAGTAAAGAAAGGGGGATAGACGGTAACAGGTTTCAATGTCCGTTATGCCCTCAGACCTTCACTGCGAAGCACAACTTGAAGAGTAAGAGTCCAACTCTGCAGATCTTTGTTGCGCATTCGCTGATGAGTATATTCCAGACCATATGGATGGTCATTTGCCAGGTAGCAAAAAAACCCATCATATTGGAGACTTCACTACTCCCGCTTCTCTTCTTGGGCGTCGCAAAGGTCTCAAAACCAATCCGCAGCTGAAATCCGCCCTATGGTCAAATGAACTCAAACACGATTCGAGCATTGAAACCGAAAGACCCATGTCGGGGGCAGCGCCGCGTGGTGATGAGTAGGCCCGGTGGCATGTTCTCAGCGAGTTGCGGGACAACCTCCTCCATCCTCCGTTTTACGACTGTAATTTACTTCGCTCTCTCTTCCTATATTTACCGCGGGGGTTTCTTCTACCCTTTCCAATGTCCCGCCGGAATGGTGATTGAACTACTCTTGTCCTCGTGCTGTCCTCGTTTGGTCCTCCCACGGCCCCTCCAATCCTTCTGGTTCGCTCTGTCTCTCCACACCTCCTGCGGAGGCTTCCTCAACCCTTCCAATGTCCATCACTCTTTAAAACAATCTTCAGTTCCTCTCCCTCTCAGAGTCATGCCGTTGTAATTCGGCCCTCTCAGGAGCTCGCCACCCTCGCCTCAGATCCTCATGCACATGCCTGAGGCCATCTTTTGTTCTGTTGTCATCAGCCCTCTCAGGAGCTCGCAGCCCTTCCCCTAAATCGTCATGCACACGCCTCATCTTTTGTTTGATGGTGGTCCTCAGTATTCGATTCCTCTCCATCCCATGCTGTTATCATTCAGCCCTCAGGAGCTCGCCACCCTCATGCACATGCGTCATCTTTTGTTCAACGGCGGTCCGACGTCCAGGCCTCGTTTGTAACATCTGACTGGCTTCCTCCGAGTCGCAATCTGAGTTCAGGGCGCATATATCTATGAAAGACTCTCTTTTACTTGGGTTACTGCGCCCCTAATGTATGAATTCATGTAGATGGTTAATGTTAGATGTGCAATTGGAAGTACATTCTCGCGCGCGCTCATTCAAATTGTGTCAGAGCATTACAGCTGATAATCCATCGAAATGTTGACATGTCGACGGCCATCGATAGGGCGTGAAATCGATAATGATTATATTATTACATACATTCGAAGACGATATTTTCTTCCTTCTTTCTTTGCCTCTCTTTCGCGCCTACGTATTCCTTTTCATATCGCTGCCCATTGGTACATCAAGGAACTCCGAACGAGGATACATCGGAAAAAAAGGGAAGACCGAAGGCGCATGTATGCATCAAGTATGCATTTTTACAATCGGCAATAGGAGGAATTTTAGAACTGGGACACGCCTTTCCCGAGTTGGGGAGATTCCAACGTCAGGTGGATATGCTAGTGATGATCGTATAGGTCCAACGTTGGTGAGGCGTGTCGTCCATATTCTCCAAGACGATTTATCCCAACATTTTTTTGGCTGAAAGGCCTCCGTATCTCCCACCGGAAATTGAAGTCGCGCGTTTTGAAGAATGGGCAATGGATTCATTTACCCAGTGCCAGGGCTCAGTGGATGGAGGAGGAATCGCCAATTTCCCAAGGTGAGGACCTGTTCATATCTGGAAAACCGAGGTTGTTTCATGGAAATTGAGCAATCTTAGCTTGCTTAGGATCGAAAGGATGGAGGAAGAAGGTAAGTAGATGTGAATTATTGTGTCCTGCGTCGCTCAATGATCTCACCGTCTTTTTGCCCTTGCCGGTGGCGCACGCAGCCCGGAGCGTATTAGAATCGTTGAACGGAGGATTTCGTTGAGATGTCATTGTCATAGGAAAGAGGCAGTGTCTTTTGGGCAATGATCATTACCCACGTATGCACAGCAGCGAAAGTGACGTCCAGAAGCCCACAGGTCGCGGAGGATGGGGGTGAAGAGACGGGGATCCGGGCCGGTGGACGGAGTTGGTGATTGATGCCTCGAGGCAGGTTGTTGCTAGTCACTTTACCACTGCTGACGCGTCCTGACTCTGATTGACCTCAACAGCTTATCTCCTCTTGCAAGCCCTACACAGCTCCCAGTACCATTCCATCAATTTGCTGCGTTGTATAGCACTCGGAACCGCCTCTTATACTTCCCCATTGATTCCTAGTCACACTTTCAAGAAACCCCGCGACATACGCCTGTCACACCAGCTCATCTCTGTCCTCTTATACCACCAACTTTGCTTTATTTCTCTTCGCTCTTGACCACCATTTCACCACCTTACTTCTCACCCTTGTCTCATTTACCACCATTATTCCACACTCACCCACCCTGACTCAGTCCAGTCGATGGATGCACTCAAGTCCCTCATCCAGCCTCTCGTAGGCGGTGCAGGCGGTTCGTCGGTCGTCGATGGCATGAAGCTCGTCGTTCTCGGAGGCACAGTCGAAACTGCACGGCGGGTGTCTAGTTCGGCTTGGTATGTGCTTCCATTCCTTCAAAAGTGGCCACGACGAGCTGACGTTGCCATTTCTCATAGGTCCCATTTCGTGAACTGTAAGTCCTCTCTCTATTGTTATACCTCCCCATCTGGGGATATTATACAGCGGCAACAGCAACGACAGATGGCCTGATCATGAGAGCCGCCGAGGCTATACCGCCACTTCGGCGCCTCTCTATCAAGTTTCGCACACACAGACACATACATCAGTGCCACATATCGTGTCCTGCCTGTGCCTTCGTCGTCGCTGCTGTTGCTGCCACTTGCTCGCTCGCTATCTATCTAAACCCCGTCTTAAAACCCCACTAACGCCACCTCTCTTCCCAGCATTTTTCCTAACAGCCCACTTCAGTGAAGAAGATTATCCATATGATTGGCTCATGCTCTGGCTCTCGCGCCGACCGGAATGGCAACGGTCCCGCGAGTTTGAGACGACCACCCGTACCACGGGTCCTGGTGGGTCTAATGCTGCGGACGAAGAGTGGGACCAGTGGGACATTGACGATGCGGCTGCGGGCGAAGACGGAGAAGGCAGACCAAAGACCCGTATCGTATTCCAGCCTACTGCCGACACGACACACACGATTTATTACCGTGGGCACTGGTTACGCGTGAAGAGGGGCAGGAAGCAGGAGACTGGGTGCGAAATGCTGTCGATTAGGTTTGTCTTCAATTCTAGTCTGTTTGTTTTTTTTTACCTCGGGCTGATGTGGTAATACAGCGTTGTTGCTCGCTCAAACACGATCCTTAAACAGCTCGTGTTGCAGGCGAAAAAAGAGTACGAGGCTGAGGCTGTACACCGGATTCAGATTTATTTCGCGGACTCCCATGGTTCTTGGAGGTGGACAGACTCCCGCCACAAACGTCCCATGGCGAGCATCGTCCTCAACCCAGGCGTTAAAGAGATGCTCTTCGACGATACCCGCGATTTCCTCAAAAGCGAAAAGGTATGCTAACCTCAAAATAAAATTAAATAAATAAATAATTGAAAATTATAGTGGTACGCAGACCGTGGAATTCCATTCCGCCGTGGCTACCTTCTACACGGTGTGCCAGGCTCGGGCAAGTCCTCACTCATCCATGCTCTGGCTGGGCAGCTCCAACTGGACATCTACGTCGTTTCACTGTCGGCTTCGTGGATATCAGACTCGACTCTGACTACCCTGATGGGCCGTGTTCCTGCGCGATGCGTCGTCCTGTTGGAAGATCTGGACGCTGCTTTCGTAAGGAGCGTGAGCCGTGACGACGACGATCAAGAAGAGGAGAAGAAGGAGGGCCCTCAGCAGCAGAACCAGGAAGGGGGTAGTGGTGGTAGTGGGGGGAGTGGACGCAGGAGGAGGGGCCGTGGTGGTGAGCAGATGAGCGATGTGAACACCTTGAGCTTGAGCGGGCTTTTGAACGCGCTTGATGGTGTTGCTGCTGCTGAAGGCAGGTTGCTCTTTGCGTGAGTGACCCTTTTGCTTTTTTAGCGCCCTCGTTTGTTGAAACTTGATTGTGTAGTACGACCAACCACTTGGAGCGTCTCGACCCCGCCCTGTCTCGACCTGGCCGCATGGACGTTTGGGTCGAGTTCAAGAATGCAAGCAAGTGGCAAGCCGAGGCCCTCTTCCGCAACTTTTTCCCTTGCGCTGAAGAAGAGGAAGAAGCGGACGAACAGCAGCTGAAGAGCATCAACGTGGACATTGAATTCGAGCCGTCATCTCCTCCATCGACTCCAAGGAAATTTATTCCCACGCCCTCAAATTCAGGTTCTACACCATCCTCGTTATGGTCCCTTTCCTCAAGCTTAGCCTCATCTGCGACCTCTCTCCTCTCTTCCCCGCCCATGTCTCCTTCTCCTTTGGGCTCTGGGACGAACACGCCTCCTCCGCCACGGACACAATCTGGTTCACCGCCATCTGACTCGTCGTCAACGTTGGTAGCTGCAGCAGCCCCGGTAGATAAGAACCAGTTTGGAGCTACGAATACTGCTTATTTGCCTCCGCCGCCTACTGCGAGCGTGCTGAACACGAAGCATTCGGCTGCGCCGCTGGATAAGCGGACGCTTGCTATTCTGGCTCAGCGCTTTGCGGATGGGGTTCCGGAGGAGGAGTTTAGCGTTGCTGCGCTACAGGGATGTGAGTTGCCCTTTTTCTTGTGGTTGGGTTGGGGCAAGTGCTGACTGAAAAAAAACAGATTTGTTGAAGTATAAAGCCCAACCTGATGCTGCTGCGAATGGTGTAGAAGATTGGGTTGTGAGCGAGCGTGAGATGCGTGAGAGGCTGAAGCGCGAGAAGGAGGCTAGGGAAGTTCGTGAGAAGGCTCTTGTATGTGTCCCTTTTTCTTGATCTTTATTCCAACAAGTGACTGATGTTTTTTTTTTGCTCAGCGTGAGAGGAGGAAAAAGGAGGCTCAAACCAAGGCGGAGGAGAAGAAGACGCAGGAGAAGAAGGACGCTGAGCTTGAGAAGGTCAAGGCGCGTTTGGCTGAAAAGGAGAAGGAGGAAGAGTTGGAGAAGATGAGGCAGCAGTTGCGGGAGAAAGAGCGGGAGGAAGTGGAGCGTAAGAAGAAGGAGGCGGAGGAGGAAGAGAAGAAGAAGGCTGAGAGCGTGGTGACTGAGACGAAGGTCGTGGCAGAGCCAGCAGAGGCGGAGGAAGTGCGTGTTGTTGAGAGTGACGTGGACAGCGATGAGGAGAATGTTGCTCCTCAGTCGGCTGTGTCCTCCTCTGCGTCGTCGTCGTGGGGTGAAGTGCCGTGACTAGATGGCGGTAAACCCGAGATGTTGTCAGAAGACCGTGAACATTCTTACGTCCTCGTTACAAGTTCGAACCTTCCCGCTCCTTCCTCCGTCAAACCTGCCCTCTCCGTGTCAATCCCTCCTCTGACTACTGAATCCGACCGACAAGAAGCATCCAAGGCCCTGGCTACGCGACACACTGCTGGCTTTGCGCTGGCATCTGTGCCGTTCACGGCCCTTTACCAGGTGTACATCTTCCAGCTGTACGCTCTGCTCATGCAGATTGCGCGGTTGGCGGGGTATTTTACTTGATGCCACTTTCTTTCTACCCCCATCTTGCTTTTCCTTCTTTTTTTTTTTTTGTCGCTTTCTTTTTTCTTTTTCGGTTATCTGTCTACCTGCAACTGTATACGTACTCACCACCATCCAAGCTATCATATCTTCATTTTCAACCCCTCAACGTACAACCCCCTCTTTTACGTTTGATAAGAAACCACCACCGCCCATTTGTGCAAGTTTGTTTATTGACTTTCCTTGCACCACTTACTTACTCCCCATAACGCCCTCTTTTTTTGCTTTCGATTGCCGTTTGTCGTATGTTGTTCTGGTGTACATATTGGTTTTTCGTCTCGATTGCTCCGTCCTCTCGAATCCTAGTAGATTGAAATACAGTTCGTTCAAGGCAAAAATGAAATTTCAACGTTCTTGATGACACTCAGCATTTGATCTTCGACTTCCACCTCTGCATCCATTGCCCTTATAAGACCCCTTTACCAGGGGCCGTGATAACCTACTCGAACGAAGACTCATGACATACTACTTAGACCACTCCCGCAGGCCAGGCACATCCGTTCCCCAAAATCTTGACGCAAAAAAAATCCTGGTTCGCCACCTCCTATTGCAAGGCTGTTTCTAGTCTCCTCAATACGGAGAACCACCTGGCGCGATATGTTACACAACTCCCTCTTCTGGAACTTCAGGACTAGATGATCCAGTTCCTCACTGATCAACTAATCATGGACGGTGGGGGAGCAAAGACGGAGGGAGAGCGAGTTTAAATTTAAGACGGAGACTCGACGGTGCTCAATGTTGGAGGCCGGACAGAGTGAGTTTGGCGAGGTTGAAACACCTTCACATATCCTCGGGACAGGTATGAGGCTTCGTGTCTGCATGATCCTGTTTGTGGGTTTGACTATGAGGACGGCAGCTAACTTCATTTCTTCATAGAGTATGATCGATCAACGATGATATGCCTCTTATCTTCCATGAGTTCGAAGCTTTTCTCCCCTATTTCTATTCCCACCGACGTGGCCAGTCTATGCTCCAGTTGTGAAGGTAAGCCGACATGATATCGTCCGCTGGAACCCTTACTGATCAGGATTAACAGCCTGCCAACTGGCTAGAGCATTACGCTGAAATCTTTGAGTTGAACGTGTGGTTATCATTAAACATCACGTCGATTGATAGGGACCCCGTCTGGGATTCTCGTTATCGATGATTGCAATCGAACATCTTGCTTATCCCTTTTCATCAGGACACCCAACCCGATATTCAAGCTTCGCATCGCACTTTGGAGACCTCAACCGTTTTAAAGACGGGATTGCCAATCTCATCTTTTCGTTATGATATATTTCTCACATCATGAGTCTCTATCCTCCCGCTTCGAACCTTTCGTTTCTAAACCATTTTCTAGAGGTAAATACCGACGAGACTGTCCTTCATCGTCAGCGCAGGACTCAGCTTTTTCCTTCCGCTCCGTTTTTTTTTTTCAACGTATCGCATTCTATCTGCCAAAGCTTTATACCAATACCAAGGTCCTTGTGACTACAGTTCCTCCGAGTCAGAGGTACTTACGTCTTGCTTTGTCCTTAATCCATGGGATCGAGTTGACCTTCTGGTATAAATAATGGGCCCGAGCATTACGCTTTGCGACAGCTCAATCTTCCACTCTGTCTATCACCCATACGAGCCGATGTTCTCTGTTTGGGGATTTCACAAGCGGGATGTGTTTATGACAAGGTTCGTATGTTCATAATCGTCCAATTAAGGGGAGTAGAACCCACCTCTGAATGATCAGGAAGTTAGTCCTTGCCAGTTCGACTCCTCCGTGCTGTAAGTCCCTATTCTACCATACCCAGTTTTTCTTTCCGAATACTGTGCCGGATATGACTGCTCAAAATCGCGAGCATTACTCTTCCAGGCTAGGCCGTCATATGATCTCATATGTGGCACCTGCCACTTTTTCTTCGTACAGTTCTGGGACATTGTGCCTGTACTGTGACGACAGAGCATCCTTTGCACCATAAGTGCCATGGAAGGACAAGTACTCGGGGATTGAAGATGTGAGGTAGGGGGATTATATGAACGCAGTGGGGGCGGCTGGAACAGGTTGAGAAGGTCATGACCGCTGTTACAAGGTAACGCAAATGGCTTGTTGGATTCTAGCTGTGTTCCTCTCCTTTTCATTTTTGTAAATTTGTTCGCTTTCAAATCGGTCTCATTGGTTTATTTTTAATTTGTTTTTAATACTTTGAAACTTAATGATCATGAGAACTTTCCGCCCTGCAATTCAAAATTCAAATCCTTGGGAGGGCCAAACTCAGCCACTCAAATGACAATACTTACCTTCTACTTTCATGTGTACAAGACATTTGCATTGATTTTCTGGTCAACAGGTTTGAGGCACTGACGACATCTTAAACGAGACAATGACTTAACAAGCAGGAACTGGACTCGTTAATGCTTGGTTAATGCTAGGTGATGGCCCTCAAGGTAAGATTTTCCAATGCAGGCATTATGTAAAAACATATTGATACTATTCATAGTGGTGGGGTTATATCAACAACAACTAAATGACCAGATCGGTAGCCCAAACATATTCGGCTGCCCCAAATTGTGGAACAGACAAAGTTGCGATATTGAGAGGGGATACAGCAGTCACGAAGGTTGGTCATTATCCAGTCACCGTTATCTGATAACTGGGTAGAGGAACTCATACTGAGCGTAGGTTGCTGCAAGGGATAGAAAATGCGGAATTGCCCAGGGGAAGTTTTATTCACCCTACTGCCATCAGGCAATGTGATGTCTGAAGTGAGTATTGGTTGAGGATTACCCGTCGTCAGATTCCAAATTTGGACTGTTTCGTCATCTGATCCAGAGACCACTCGGCTGCCATCCTGTGAGAATGCGACAGAGTTCACCAAACCTGTGTGGCCCTTCAGCTCAGCCTCCACCTTACCTGCTGTCACATTCCAAATTCGGACCGTTTCATCAACCGATCCAGAGACCACTCGGCTGCTGTCCTGCGAGAATGCAACAGACATCACCAAATTTGTGTGGCCCTTCAGCTCAGCCTCCACCTTGCCTGTTGTCACATTCCAAATTCGGACTGTTTTGTCAACCGATCCAGAGACCACTTGGCTGCCATCCTGTGAGAATGCAACAGACCTCACCTGATCTGTGTGGCCCTCCAGCTTAGCCTCCAGCTTGCCCGTTGTCACATTCCAAATTTGGATGATACTGTTGTCCAAGCCAGAGACAACTCGGCTGCCATCCTGAGAGAATGCAACAGATGATACTGCTGACCCATTGTGCACAATCAGCTCTGCAGGGTCCCATGAGTCAGGTAATCCAAGAGTCACTTTTGGAACTCTGCTGACATCGGCAGTGTAGGTCTTGCGTATCAATGAATTCTTTGGGATCCAAACAAGTGCAGACTCATAGATCTCCATGCAATGTTTCTGGACAGCTTCAAAGTTCATTTGTAAACACTGGCAGGTGTCATGAACAAGTAAGTGAAAGTCATGGAATTTGAAGACCTGTCAATCAGAAAATTATTAGACTCACAATGTTCTCCTTCATTCTGGCAAATAACTTACTGATAAAACAGTCACTATGCTACTCAGGGATTTAAGTCCGGTCTGTAGTTCACTCAGTGTGCTGAGACACTCTATCCAGTGCAAAAGATGCTTGTGCAAAAAAACGTGAAGATTGTCGATGAACATGGGGTCAAATTCCTTGACCTCTGCTAAATGAGCAGCCCAATAAATGCATGAGTATCTGAGTGCTTCAGAAAATTTTCCAACGTTTTCCAGAGAGTTGGCCCTGTGTATCCGTGACAATGTCAATTCTTGGGGGATTTCACACATGTTGTACTTCAGTGACTTGTTCATCAGCATCAAACATTTGAGAGCTATCAGTCTATGACCCTCGGAAGCAACCAGCGAAGGGAATAATGGACAACGCTTGGGAGAACAACGTGTGGGGTCGGTGATGAAGTCAGAAAATGAAGCATGGAATGGAGTAACCACGGCCCCGGGTTGATCAGGAATGTGAATAACAGACGTGAGCCACACCAAATACAAGTGCGCGTTGCTTTTGAGAGATGTAATGGCTTCCATTGACAACGGCTTTCGAAGGAATATGGTGATCGACAAGACATTTCTCATATCATCGACTTCATGCGGCTCCTTGTCTTTGCAGACCTTTTCCATGACATGTACATAGAGAGAATCGATCTCAGTTTCAAACGCGTTGATGGATTTTTGGCCATGGGTTAACATTGCAGAAAGACGGCACTTATAGTCCTCACCACCATTGGTGATATAACGAACGGCAGTTGCTGCGTAAAAGAAGAGCCTGCCAGAACTTGCGACGAGACTGGACAGTTCGTCATCCTTGATGTGGGCCAACGATGTCCTGAGATATATCCGGATATCATTCTCGACTACGTCCTTCTTGATGTCATTGAGATAGAAGTACCCTCGAACACTATCGCTAGTAGACCCGAAGGCCTTGCGAATCAGATATTCGTCTCGACTGGCTAGGAATATCTTGAGCGGAATTTTCGACGCCCATTCAAGAACAAGTTTAATGAACGAAGAAACAACTTCAAGGTTGTCACATTCATCGATGGCATCAATAACGACAACTTTATCCACCATGCCGACGGTCGTTTGAACAGGATTATAAACCAGCTGCTTGAACTGCTCCTTTATGTTAGAATAGGTCGGTTCCGCCAGAGTAGGGTCGTCCTCGATGGCCTTGACGACCTCAACTTTGATAGCATGTGAAGCTCTGGCCAGCGAATGTGCAATAACAGGAATAATAAGGCGTGCGTTCCTAGTTTTCCCCCATGCTCGAGAAGCAAAGAAACTGCCACCAAGAATGTTTTTAGCCTCGAGATTCTCACAGAACGTGTGCGCGATGGTTGATTTTCCGATTCCCGCCATACCTACCATCCAGTATACCCTGCTGCTATTGGCGTTCGAGGCCCAAATGTCCAATTCTTCGAGGACCTTTACGCGGGTCCCTTGCATGCAGCCGGCGGGGTCGCCGTAAGACGACTGTCGAGTTTTATATGATGTCATTTCGTGATTGAGTTTTTCGATGGGATCTGTGAGTATATAAGCGCCACGAAGGTATGTTCTGTTGGGATAGTTCATCTCACCTTGACCCCTGACGGCCAAGATAGAACGCGACGTGTCGGAGTCAGATCCCCCAAGATCTAAGGGCTTTCCTACGGTTAAGAGGTTATTGAAGGTATGAAGCATGCATACTGATGATGAATGTACCTCTGTTATGGTCCCTCCGCGAGCTGATAACTTCCCCACCGAGCACACTCCACAGAATGGAATTGGGCAGATTCCCAGCCGAGGATGAAGTGCTAGCATGAGGCAAGTCCCCAACCGTGCCCCTAGGTTTGTTGTCATCACCCGAATCGTCAACTCTTTTCTTGAAAAATCGAGGGGAGTTAACTGTCATGTTCGAAGGGTATATTTCAAAGGGGTCGAAATTTTGGGAAGACTCTGGTTTTCGATCTTCATATGGAGTGACGTCTTCGTCACCTAAGCCATTGCCGTCATCCTAAAAGCGACGATGGTTGTCAAACCCATCCAGACCAGCGGAACATCTAGATACTCACCTCACCAGAACCATGACACATGTGGGGTTTGATATCTTCGTCCTCATTAACTGTTTTCTTGTGGGACCAAGGGGAGTCAACCTCCGTGTCAGAAGGGGGCGTTTCAAAGGCATCGAAAAGTTGCGAAGGCCATAGATTTCGATTTCCGAGTGAAGGGAGATCTTCGACCTCTCCTCCGACAGAGACGTCAGATGACGTACTGAGGTCTTGAGATGGCCTTGCTTTCTCTTCTAGGTAGACGGTACCTGAAAAAAAAATGTTAAATCACCACAACATCGTCTTTAGTCAACCTCACCATCCTTCTCTTCAATGATATGGAATGCCTCTTGAATTCGAAGGGGAAGGTCTTGGGCAGTACGCGTCCAATCGTCATCCTATCATCCGCTTTACACTTCAAATCAAGTAATGAAGTTCATGGCTCACCGAGTCTTGAATCACAGAGCACCAGTCGCTGTCATGAACAAGTACAACCTTCGCTTTTGGGCACTATGAAAGTTCAAGTACTGATTAGGGGCAGGATTTGAGTTTTTGTGCGTAGCAATAAGCGGCACCTTTCGCAGCATCATGTCAATGGCATAGGTTGCGGGGTGAGCTGCTGTTGTCTTTGAGATAGTGAACATTTGAAGAGTATGATGCAACCGGAAGCGCTGACCTGTGTAGAGGTCATTGAATCCGTCACCTCGGAGCTACCCCCGCGACTGTGACCACAGAAACAACCTTTGCCACCTTGTTGTAAATGATGTGAGTTGAAGTGCCCACAATGAGGAGAAGCAGCAGACATAGTACCTGAAAGAGAACCCGTGCCACTTGAAAGTGAAGGGAAAGGGCCCTTGGGGGATCCCTCCGATGCTTGATCATTCATTGAAGACTCTACCTCCAATTCGATATCCTTCCAGTCATCATCACCGAAAGCAGGCGTAAGTGACCGGATGAAGGTACACTGATTCTGTGGAACGGAGCCGTTCAGCCCTAAATTCATAAGCTCCTCATGTCCGGGACCAAAGTTCGCCTCTGGTGTGCCTTCACAGTCCCATTCATACGTCGTATATGGAGAATGTCCATGACCAACAGGATTGAACCTCAAGAGAGACACATTGTCTTCAGGGCGTTTCGACGGGGGATGCGAGTAGGCTGCGATTCCCCACGAGGTTGTCTTGTCACACCCCGTGACCAAGTGAAGTTCCCCATTGCCAATTTCTTCACCGCGAGGCCCTTTGGCGTAAAGATACCAGCTTCTAGCGTGAATCCTTGCATATTTTCTAAATTTCCTGTAATTTTTCAGATCTTCGTGGCATGCCCCTCCAGGCATTGTTAGAATAGCACCATCAGAACCGGAGCATTCAAAAGTTGTCCTGCTACAACCCTCATTGGTACCCCTGGGATATGGAAGGGATCAGGGACTTACTCTCGCCTCTTTACAGACGGACTGGCTATATGGGTGTGCGAAGAACGAGCAGAATATTTGCGAACATCTGTTGGTTCCAGCTCGAGAGGAACAAAGCCTTCAGGAAGTGCTTTAGGGTTACCTGAGTGCCCAGCGGGAAAACGAATATTAAAGAGGAAGTCGAAGCCACCATCTGGAGTGAAACTTCCAACATCGCCAATGCTGACACCTTTTCGTCGATATGAGACATCAAGTTCCTCGTTGGGTTGAGGAATCCAGAGAGGAAAGCCGCGCGCTTCGAGATACATGTGACGCCTGTAGATGGAGATACTGGATTCTTTTTTAACGGGGTTGCCCTCCTCTGTGGGCAGAGACTGTCTGGTGTCAGCATACTGGTCAGGTCGAGAAGAGAACAGACAAACCTCTGCTTCAAAAGATGCACCACTGCTGCCAGGACCTGAACAGGCTAAAAACAAAAACTAAGAATTGAGCCCAATTTGCCATGAGAGGTTTTGGAAGAAATACATGCCTGAATTGGTGGTCGCTCTCGACTCCTCCAATATTGCGATTTCTTCGTGGTCCGAGGAAGATGAGGGCACTTCTCCAGCCGACTCTAACGTATTGCTGCTCTTGTTTACTGCTGAGGTCGCCCGCAATGCGTCCAAGTCAGACCCACCCACATCTAGGTGAACTCTCGATGATGAAGAATCCATTTAAGAGATAAAGTTTGCGCACTAATGATGATTGTACTGCTAATGTGATCCCTCTGCGAGCTGCTGATCTCCCCACCATGCACACTTGTCGATGAAGCGCCCAATAAGACGGAGGTTCTAATTGACGGATTCAGACCACAGAGACAAGTGACATGCTCAGAACCGACGTACCCTGTGCTTTCTACTCGAAGCGCAGCCCTCGTTTTGTCGACTGTCGAGGGGGACCTAGACATATGACTCTTGGAGTTCATTTCAACCCAACGATTTGGAGGTGCCGGCCAACTACGCAGGAGCACAGGTTTTCCTGAGCACTTCCAGTCAAGGGGCCTCGAGGCAGAATTCCCATGCTCGCCATTTAAGATTATATTGGCGCCTGTCTCCCAACCGTCTCCATTGCTTTCCAACTTCCTCGCAACCTAGGTAGAGCAGGCCAAGAGGCAGGCCGAGCTGGCGAAACATGTTCTTTCGCATTCGTCGTCCTCAGCAGCTTAGGGAATGATAGAGCATTGAAGTCTACAGCGAGCGGGGGAAGCAAGACGAGGTCGGGATTGACCTGAATTTTTTCGTGGGCTTTAGGTTGCCGACTTCGTTGCTAGACTCTTTTCACGAGTGGTCGCTCGTTTTTCTGACAGTGCCGTTCATATGACTTGCTTGTGTTCGTGCATAAAAAGTATGACGAACCAGACTGAGATAGAGTGGCGGTGAATTAGAGGGTTGGGTTGAATTGAAGAATATAAGTGGCAGACTTGCCGCATGCCTCGTTGTGGAAGAGGCCAAGTAATGACCGAAGAACGGCAAAGAACATCAGCGTTGCTCAAGTCTTCGACTTCCATGACTTCCACCGCTCTTGAGAATAAGCGATTCTGACAAGCATCCACCATAATCTATATCTCGATTCTCGAACGATGACTTATAAAATACCGGACTACCCCCTCCCTCCATTTCTGGTGATAGACGAGCTAGAAGAACGTGCGAGACGCCCGCCGTGACCCGCGACAGACGCAGAATTGAACCTCGCCAAAGTCTACCGTCGAGGATACGCGCACAGGAGACCAAGCGCCATCAATATACATCTACCAATGACTCTGAAGACCATGTTTATGACAGACTCGAAACATTCGACCCCTTCCTTGTTATCTCAATAACCCCCTTCTTCCAGATCCTTTGTGTTTCTCTTGGCCATGGCGCCGTTAAATACAGCCGTTCTTGTTTTGCAAGCGAATGATTGGTGCAAGAAGTGACATTCATGCAGTGCATATCTCGTGGACAGAGCAATCGCTAGACTCGAACCAGTCTCCAAAAGGTTCATCACTATGTTGAGTGCGAGGGGGGTGGACGGATGTACTTGATGGATGGATCCGGATTGGTTCAAAGTGAGGCGGGTAATTGAACCCAATAACGGCAAGTATGCAAAAGACACTGAGGCTTACGCCCCAAGTGACCTGTGGACATTCAAAGACACACAATATCGCCGTGGATAAGCCATGTCAAGTCATAGACGTAAACACGACACTCTCCATCTTGATTGCCCCAAACACACGGAACGTGCGAACATTGCCCATCCTATCGATCGAATCCTGCAAGTCCGACACCTGCCCATTCGCATCGAGGTATATAGGCAGGAACCTCTGATGCATCAAGCTACATGACCTCCCAAATCAACAAAACGCGAATTTCAGGTATGTATGCAGGACAAGGCATACACACCTTTCGTATTCATACAGAGCCTGCTGCACCAACTCATAATTCACATCTTCGGTCTCGATGGCATGTTCAACCAGCTTATGTTTGCACGATAACAACGTCCTCATATGTCTCGTCGTGTGCATCTCGAGTGCTTCCTCCTCCACGGGGAGATAGGTTGACGGAAGACGGAGGAGACCCGTAGTTGGGTTTTCCTCTGCTCGCTTGCAGCAGCTTCATCTCCACGGTCTTCCTCGATGAGGGGATCGCGACGAGCGAGGGAAGGGTGGAGAACTTCCATAAGCTCCCCATATCCGAATATATCTTTGAACGTCTCGAGATGGAGGGAGATGCCATATGTCTTGGAGAGTGTTCGAAGAGGAATTCAAAGTTGAGAGGCGGGGTGATGGGGAGTTGGGGCGGGGCGGGAAGATGATAATATCTTCGATCAACTCCGGTCGTCCACCTGGAGAGAATACGCGATAGACTTCTTTGAATACGTGTGCTCATGAGACTGTGGGTATGCAAAGTGTGAGGCATGACATTCTTATCAAGTCGAAGGTGTTGGAGTCGAAGGGCAGTTGTTTCAGGCTGGACGATACACATATGGATGAGGATGAGGATAAGAAAGAAAGTGTTGCGGAACACGTACACATTCCCCCGAATAAACTCAATTTGACCCTTTACCCTATGTTCGACGGCAAGTGGTAACAAAACTTTGAGATATCCACCTTGTCGAACCCAGTCACCTTGGTCCCGTATCTGCTCCATTTTATAGCAGCTTCAACGACCCAGTGTCTGTCGTCTATTAGATAAGCTGCAATTATAAAGAGGAAAGGCCACTAACCCTTGTCCACATCCAAGGTCAAGCACTTGTCGAGGAGGCGAGGGCCCATGGTCATAAAACGTCGGCGAGTCAGTCGTGTTTAAACGACGTAACAGGTCCCCCGTGTATCTATCGCTAGTCACAACAAAAGTCAGCAAAATCAACTGACAATAAAACAGAATAAAAACATACTGGTCAAGAAGAACAGCGTCAAACGGGTTCAAAGGACAACTCCCAACCCTCGACTTGCCTCTCGTTTCCATTGCGTAAGCGTTCTCAGCAGCCATCCTAATACTATCGGAAACCCTCTCCGCCACCTCATCCCCTCCAACACCCACTCCCAAGTCAAATGTCGGGCCAATCAAACACCATGAACCCGAGAGATTCGAAGTCGACTCAAAATTCATCGACATCGGCATCTTCTGGATCTCGTCCCCATCTTCCACCTGCTTATCCTGTTCTCTTTGTTTTCCTTTATCCCGTTGCTTGGTTTTGCCATTCAAGTGACAAAGACTATTGAACGGTATTGGGGATGGGTCGGTAGGGCTACGTTTGTGTTTAGCTTTTTGATTGACTCGAGAACGACCGGAGGGGTATAGGAACGGTGCTGGTGTTGGTGTGCTTGTAGTTGGTGAAGTAGAGTTTTTGTCTTTGTCTTGAGGGTTCTGGGGACAGAAGAAGTAGAAGCGGGAACAGAAGACGAAGGCTGCACCGAATCGTCCTGGTGGAGACGATGTTGGGGCACCACCCTGTGTTCGCTTGCACTTGTACAGGGGGCACCAACGGCACACTGGGCACCAGCAAATCCGATAACGGGGACGGACTCGTCGCACTCGTACTCCCACTGGAAACGTGCACTTTACGAGTTTTGCTCCCCTCAAGACGAGCCATAGAGCGTCCGACAGCGCATACTTTTGGCAGTGTCGACTTTCGCTGCTCGTCCTCGTCGATACCTATACACCCAGACCGACCTGGGACAGTGGTCGGTGAAGGTGAGAACACATGATCAGAGGCGTTGATTGGCATGGAAGGGTCGAACTCGACGCGGGTGGGTGCAGTGGGGAGGTAGGTTGTGGTGAGTATGATAACGACGAAGACGGTTCAGCTACTGAGATGCTTTGTGGGACGCTGAGGGGAGTGGTGTAACTCGTAACGGACGAGCTGGGTCCAGGTGGATACACATGCTGGTGCTGCTCTTCTTCATGTGGACCTTGAAAGTCCCGCTGGGCGCTATTGTAGTTGTAAGTGAACAAGGAGTGTGCTTGGTTGCTATCGTGGCCCGGGATACAGAGTCGCAGAGGTGGAAGTGGACGGGCTTCTAGAAGAGAGTTCGAAGATATCGTCGTCGAAACTTTGCCCCTCTTCATACTTTGATAAAGGAAAGTAGCTTGGATGGCGTGGTGGCATGGGACTGAGTCGTGGATTGTATGGGTTTTATCCATGACAGAGGATAGTTGGCTTGGGTTCATGTTGGCCGACTGTTGTTGCGAAGGAGCAGGTAATGAGCGTGATGCTTGCATTCGTGATGGAGGCGGGGGCTGGTAGATGGCTGGGGTATTTATTCAATAACTCGTCGAATACACGCTCAGAATCAACGTACCTTGTGTTTGCCACTCGAAGGGCGGCCCTCGTTTCGTCCGAGACTGTCAAGATGGACCTAGATGACGACCTTTCGACCTTTCGATAAGTTGGAGGCCCTTGTCATGGGCGCTTCCACCTAATTCCGGCCCATGCGAGCTATCTAAGCTATTGGTGCCCGTCTTTATTGCTCCTCCGCGCGACCTGGGTAGAGTGGTAGGCAGGCCGCGCTGGCGGAACGCGTCCTTGCGCGATTCATTGTCCTCAACAGCTAACTTGCAGCTAAGTGCAGTATTGAAGTCTATTGCGAATTAGAGGTAATTAGGCCTTAGGGTTGAATTAAAAAAAGCAAGTAGCAGACTGCCGCAGACCTCATTGTGGAGGAAGAGAAGACCCGTCCGTATCTGGCGCGTTTCCCCACAGAAACCAGGAAGGAACCCGCGATGGTTGAAATTTGGTTGAAATATTGAGGAGTCGACAAGGAGTCGATCCAGACGTAAAGCCGTGTGAACACTCCGACACTGATCAAACACTTGCGCAAGTTTATTGCTCCACCCTTACACCCCACAACGCCCTCTTTTTTTTGCTTTCGATTGCCGTTTGCGTATGTTGTTCTGGTATACATATTTCGTCTCGATTGCTCCGTCCTCCCGAATCCTGATCCCTAGTAGATTGAAATACAGTTCGTTCAAGGCAAAATGAAATTTCAACAATCACGTCGAACGCAGGAAGGGTGTCACTTAGGACACCGGTTTCATCAACGTACAAGTCGTATGTGTATAAAGGGTATGAGGTGTCTATGGAAGATCAACAGTAACAGTGGAGGCGCATTAGATGTGTATGGATCTGTACGAGAGGCGAAAGGTGGAGGAGCACAGCAAGGCAATAAAAATAACGAAAAGTCCACACTGCCACGACATCTGGCGGTATGATAATGGGATGGTGTCTCATAACAGCACCATTTCCAAAGACAACAAGGTCTGATCCAAAGAGAACACGCAATGCGCGGTACATGGCGCATCTCTTAGCGGGTATAAATCCATGGGGTATAAATTTATTGCGCAAGGTCAAGTCCATTGGGTCAGGGTCGAGTCCAGCAGAAGAGGGAAGAGAATAAATTCTTGGTAAATAGACGAGAGCGAGAAGAAGCCTTCGATACATATGGGTGATGATCGCCGCCGCTGAAGGGCGGTTGGGGATAGTTTGCTGGAGCAAAGGGAGGAGGAGCCGGAGGTCCATGAAGAGATCGTTCACCGATACTGGCAGGGTGCCGCAAATCGTATTGATGACCGGAACTCGAGGGGAGGTCATGTAACACTGAGCTGCCACATGTGTGATCCATGGCTTGTCATGGCCAATCCCCAGAACTTGGTCCTTCCCATAAGAAAATCAACGCGTTTCATCCCCCCACGTTTCTCCAGGTCATATGCTTGGGAGCTGCGATGCCTGCGGTATCGCTGCTCGTATGCCTGAGCAGCTCTGCGCTTGTTATGTGAACTAAGCGAGCTGTACTCCCCAGGTGTGATGTTCTTTTGCAGTGCGTTGTACACGCCCTCCAGTACATCTCCAACAGTGACGTAAGAGCCATTCGACGCTGAGATACTGATAGTCCAGGGCAAATGTTCAGACACGATGCTCAGTTTCCTGAGTACAGGAGTTGTAGCTGGTTCCGTGAGATTGCGGCTGGAGATGCGATGATGATGATGATGATCGAGGATAGAGGATGGGTGATCCATAACATCATAATTGATGGCAGGAACAGATGATAATCCAAGGTGCGGATGGATGCACACCTGACTATTTTCGAGATTAGAGGAAGGATAGAACCGTACTCTTTTCCCTTTATCAGTTCTTCGCCCTCTTTGATCTGGTTCGCCTACATTGTCCGGCTTATGTTCAACTTGGGGCGCCTCGCGGAGACGAACTAACGTTTGATCATGGAGAGGGGCCTCTTCCACTTCTGCAGGCCGCTCGGTAGCTTTAAATTCTTCGTCTTCTTTCCTCTTCTTGAGGGCCAGCGCCATCATCCTCCAGGTTATATTTTCCATCCGCTGAGCATGAGGTGATGTTGCTTTCGTCTTTGCATACCTTCGCCAAATCTGCGTCGTCAATGGGTCCTCCTTTGCCAGTCGATCCAGATCAACATCCAGATCAGGCGCGTGTTGCAAATCAGGAAAGCTAGAAACTCTGCGAGAGCTGGAGGGATTTGTAGCCTGAGGAGCCAAAGAAAAGCTTTGTTGGCCGGAAATTGGAATGCTCATTGACATTCCCCTGGCTTTGTTGAAATTATCTTGTGACGAATGTGGATCCATGGCGGGAAAAGGGATGCCAACATCGTCTGGACTGTTAGTGAGACCGTGCTGGTAGAAAGACGTGTCAGCAGAGGAAGAGAAAACACTTGTACTAGGTCGACACGATCCTAGAGGGACGCCACTCACCTTGCTAGAATCAGGACTCGGGTCGTCGTCGTAGGCATCAATCGACGTCTTGAGGGGCGAAGGCTGTGCGAATGAGGCGTTGTGATTCGCCTTTTGTGACTGTGGAAGGATGGAATCGAGGAAGGCAGCATCCAGCATGGGATTATCCTCGTCATCTAGTTGACCTTCGCTATCCTAAAAGAAAGTGTGTCATCAGAATCATCGCAAGCAGCAGAGCCATTCCGATACTCGCCTCGCCAGAATCATAATGTTCATCAAACTTGATATTTTCATCTTCACCGTCCTTGAAGAACGAAGAATAGTCGCCCTTCATTTTCAAAGGGGATGGAGGCGCAAAGTGGTCGAAAATATGCGAAGGCCCTGGTTGTTGATCTTCATCACTCGAATCACCGTGGTCGCCCTAGAAATGATCATGGTCATCAGCCCATTCAGAGCAGAAAAGCGTATCAGAAAATCGCCTTGAAAAAATCACGATATTCGTCAAGTTTGGTGTCATCATCCCAATCGTCAACTTTCGACTTTGGGTGAGAATGCGAAGACCCTGGATTTCGTTCTTCGAGAAGAAGACGGCCCTCGTTCTCCAAATCAGCGGAAACGAGAGATGATATACTGAGCCGTTGAGATGACATGGATTTTTCTTGTAAGTAGACGGTACCTAGGGAAAAAAGTTAAATCCTTGACAACACCGTGTTTAGTCAACCTCACCATTCTTCTCTTCAACGATATCAAATGCCTCTTGAAGTCGATGCGGAAGGTCTTGCACTGTATATGTCCAATCATCATCCTAAGACCCACGTTACATCTTCAAATCTAGCAATGAAGTTTATTGCTCACTGAGTCTCGGATTACAGAGCACCAGTCGCTGTCATGGACGACTACAACCTTGGCTTTGGGGCACTGTAAATGCATAAGCAATTGATTAGTTTCGCATTCATGCGTTGCAGTAAGCAGTACCTTTTGTAGTATCATGTCAGTGACGTAGGTCGCGGGGTGAGCTGATAGTGGCTTCATCAAGATAGTAAGGATACGAAGAGGGGCATGAAACAAGTGGAAATGCTGACCTGTGCAGGAGTCACTGAATCGGTCAGCTTCGAAGTACTTCCGCGACCGTAGCCACATAAGGAGCTTAAGTGGCCTTGCAGATGATATTACTTGAAAAGCACACAATCACAAGAGACAGGAAACAACATACCTGGAAGTGAGCTTATGGCACCTAAAACTGATGTGATAGGGTTCTTGGGGGACTGCTCCGATGCTTGATCTTTCGCTGAAGCCACTATCTTCGATTGCAGACGTTCCCAGTCATCATGACCAAGCGTAGGGGTAAGAGATCGAACGAAGGTGCACTGATTTCGAAGAGGGGCAGAACCTTGAACCCCTAGGTCCACAAGCTCATCTTCTTCGGGACCAACCTTCGCCTCCACTGTGCCCTTGTAATCCCAAGCATAAGGCTGCCGACCATGATGTTCATTACCAACAGCTTCAAAGTTCAACAAGGTTACGCTGCCTTCAGGACGTTTCGACTGGAGATGCGAGTAGGTTGCAATTCCCCAAGCAGTGGTCTTATCACAACCTGTTACCATGTGAAGTTGACCATTGCCAATTTCCCGACCGCAAGGTCCATTGGCATACTGATACCAGCTTTCAGCGTGAGTCAATGCGTAATCTCTAAATCTGCTGATATTTTTCAAGTCTTCGTGATAAGCTCCTTGAGGCATGGTTAGAACAGCACCATCAGAACCGGAGCACTCGAATGTTGCTCCACTAAAACATCGTTAGCACCTCTGACAGTTAGATGTAAAAGGAATAGGCGACTTACTCCTGTTTTTGTACAGACGCGCTTGTCATATGGCTGTGCGCAGAATGCGCACGGACCTCGGAAACATCCGTAGGTCTGAGCGTAAGGCAAGAGAAGCCTTCGGGCAACTCGTCAGGGTTATTAGGATGTCCTGCCGGGAGACAGACATTGAAAAGGAAGTCAAAGCTACCATCCCATGCGAAGATGCCAACATCACCGATGCTGACACCTTGTCGTCGGTATGAGTGAGGAAGCCTCATGTTGGGTTGAGGAATCCAGAGAGGAAAGCCATGTTTTTTGAGATACATGTGTCGCTCGTAGATGGCGTTGGGCTCTTCTTCGAAGAGATTCTCGTCTTCATTGGGCGGAGAGTCTGGAGACTGCTCAAGGTCAGCACGTTCGCCACGCTGGCGAGAAAGAAAAGCAAACCTTGATTTCGGAAGATACTTCACTACCATAGCCTAAATGGTATCAGCACAAAGGAAGAATGGAACCCAGGGTCTTCTGAAAAACGATTCAGAGTACGTACCTGAATCTGTGGACGCATTGAACTCCTCTAGCAAGCTTTGTTCTTGGTCTGATGCAGATGAAGTGCTAGGACAGGGGAGATCCCTAGCCAACTTGGATGAAGTGCTAGCATGAGGCAAGTCTGTTACCGTGCCCAAAGTACTAGGCTTGCTGACGGCCAATGTGGAACGCGATGTGTCGGAGTCAGGTGCCCCAATATCTAACGGCTTTCCAATGATTAAGAGGTCTTTGAAGATATGAAGACTCCGTACTGATGATGAATGTAGCCCTGTTATGGTCCCTCTGCGAGTTGATAATTTCCCCGCCGAGCACACTTGTGGATGAAGCACCCGACAGAATGGATGCCCTGATCAACCATTCAGAATGACTCGTCGAATACATGCTTGCAACCAACGTACCCTATGCTTTCCACTCGAGAGGCGGCCCTCGTTTCGTCGACTGTCGAGGTGGACCTTGCCGTATATCTCTTCGAGTTCATTGCAACGTAAGGATGTGGAAGCGCCAGTCAACTGCGCATGAGCACTTGATGAGCACAGGTTTTTCTGAGCGCTTCCAGTCTAGGCGGATTTCCCATACTCATTTAGCGAGCTTGTCATCACTATTCAGACATTGGCACCTGCCTTCAACCTGCCTTCATTGCTTCCCAACTTTCGCGCAACTTGGGTAGAGTGTTAGGCAGGCTGCGCTGGCGAAATACGTTCTTGTGCAAGTCGTCGTCCTAAATGGCGCAGTATTAAAGTCTACAGTGAACGGGGGAAGTAAGACGCGGTCGAGGTTGATGTAAAGTACAACGCTGATGATGACACAGGATGACACTCAGTATCTGATCTTCGACTTCCACCTCTGCACCCATTGCCCTTATAAAATCTTTACCAGCAACTGCAATAACCTACATTTCGAACGATGACTCCCCCCCTAGGCGCATCCGTTCCCCAAAATGTTTGATGCAAAAAACAAAATCACACAGAACTGGTTCGCCACCTTCTATTGCAGGCGATGCAAAGGCTGTTTCCAGTCTCCTCTGGCGCGACATGTTACACAACTCCCTCACCTGGAACTTCAGGACCTTTTCTGGATGATCCAGCTCCTCACTGATCAACTAGTTCAATCGAAAGAGCAGAACTTTCGCTTTGAAAGACCCGCTGCTGGGCTTGGAGCGGCCTAACTTACTCCCGACCTTGCGTCGATCAATCAACGTGAATATTCGAGTTCTTAACTGACGTCGGGAACGCGTCGTCTCATACCGACGGTGGATCAGTGGAGAGTGGAAGGCTGCATGTGGTATATACCAATTTGGAAATCCTCGAAGGGTTTCCAGAGAGAGTGGGGATCTTGATCCTAGTAAGTAATGAACAGTGGGTGGAGCAAAGACGGAGTATAAGGACGAATCGGACCCGACGGTACTACTCATTCATGGAGCCGGACGGAGATGTTGAAACACCTTGACATATCCTGGGTACTTATGGAACGAAATGCGAGGGTGGACAGGTATGAGGCTTTGTGTCCACATGATCATGTTGGTGAATGTCACATCTCTGACTATGAGGACGACAGCTAACTTGATTTCTTGTAGGGTATGATCATCTGCCTTATCTTCTGCGAGTTCGAAACGTTTCTCCCCTTTCTCTACCTTCTATTCTCGCAGGTTCCCACCGACGTGGCCAGTCTATGCTCCAGCCGTGAAGGTAAGCTGACTCGATACCGTCCGCTGGAACCCTACTGATCAGGATCATCAGCTTGCCGACTAGAACATTACGCTGAAATCTTTGAGCTGAACATCTGGTTCTCGTCAAACTTCACATCGATCGATAGGGATCCCGCCACCAACAAGTGGAATGTATTCGTCACCCGGAGAGGGGCACATTTACAGTCGAGGACGTAGTCTTCGCAACAGGATTGGGCAGCGGGTCTCCCAATACGCCTTCATACCCTGGTACGTCAATTTCACGCACCTGGCAAGATAAACTATCTCACATATCGAATCAGCAAATAAGGACGAGTTTGAAGGGGAAATTCTGCATTCTAATGAGCACAAGAAATCGTCTGACCACGCTGGAAAGACAGTGGTTGTTGGCGCTTGCACTTTAGGTAAGCTAAGAACCTTTATCGTCGCCTTCGTCACCTTATGATTAAGCGACCCACGATATTGCCCAGGACTATTACATCCACGGAGTCGATACGTTGAGACTCAGTCTGGCCATGGTCATTGATTGGCTCACTTTCCCGTGGACGTGACCATGTTCCAGCAAGCTCGACGTATAGCACGTCCACAACAAATGGCTGGAAAGGATCAGGGATCAATGAAATGAAACGAAAGGGGTATGGGGAGCAAATTGAAATGGGTTCATGTTTATTTTGTAGACGATGGAAAATGGACAAAGGGAGGGGGTCAACTTTTAATAGGGCACGCAGTGACAACAGCACAGTTTTCAATCTTGGAACTCATTGAACGCTAGACATGACTCTGGAGTATCTGCCTCAACGTCAACGCCCCCGTCCGCCACACATCCTTCTCCAACGTCAAATTTCGACTACGCACTAGAACTCGTTATATATCCGTTGGGCTTCTTGGACGGCTTGAGGGCCTCCAGTTCGCCGGATATACCATCTTCCTCCTTGCTGCCATGGATTTCGCGATATAACCTTCGTCATTAGGGGGCGCTTGATTGTGAAGTTTGCTATTTATGCGAACGGACTTTCCCTTCAAAGAAATTGAGTCCGCCTCACCAGAAACATCAAACAAGTCAGGTTTGGCAACACCGTCGCCATCGTCAGTCGACTCTTTGATGTATCCAGGAAGGGAGAAGTCTCCGAAGGAGCTCATGTTATGCTTCGGTCGCTGGAACATGATCTTGATGATGGCGTTTAGCATGATGCGATGTTTGTTGTCCAAATCATTCTTGTCAAGTTTGAAAGGATCCTGGTCATTGTGTAAGCCATGAATCTCTGAATGAAGAAAATTGTGCAGAAATTTACCCAGCTAGAATCGCGATCCATTTTGAATTTGTTGTCGTAGGTGGAGTTGCTCTTCAGTTTCTGGATTTGCAGTGAAATGTATTCTGAGAAGGCGTCCGACCAAGGACTGTCTTCATCAACAATGTCAATGCCGAGACGTGCCTGGTCAATGAGTTGGTCGACATGATTACTGGACGGACGTAACCACATGAATGTTCACCTTGCTGGAATCAGAACTGTAGTTTTCGTCGCAGTCATCAACCGGCCTCTTGAGGGACCGAGGGGGGGAACACGACTGTTCAAAGGAAGGGTTATTCTTCACTTGTTGAATTCGACGAAGAATGGACTCGAGGAAGGCAGTATCCGGCTCAAGATTATCTTCATCGCCCAATTGACCTTCATCGTCCTGAAAATGGCTATGGTTACCAAACTCAGCGCAGTTGGGCCATCTAGATACTCGCCTCCTCGGAATCGTAATATTCATGAGGTTTAATATCATCCCAATTGTCAATTAGCTTTTTGAATGTCTGGGGAGAGTGCGGGAATCTCTCGAAAAGTTGCAGAGGCCCAGCTTTTCGATCGCTGAGTAGAGTGTTTGCTTCGTTACTAAAATCATTGTCATCCTAAAAGTGACAACGGTCATCAAGCTGGTCCAGAGTAGCAGAGCCGTCCACCCACCTCATCGGAATCATGACATTTCTTAGGTTTGATATCACCATCTCCATTGTCAACTACTTTCTTGGACCAAGGAGAGTCAACTTGCACGTCTAAAGAGGATATTTCAGGGGAATCGGAAAGTTGCGAAGGCCCTGGTTGTCGATCCTCGAAGAGAGGGAAAACCTCAACCTCTAATTTGCCGGAGACGTCAGGTAATCTACTAGGGTGTTGAGATGGCCTTGTTTTCTCTTCTAGGTAGACGGTACCTGGGAAAAAAATGTTGAATCCTTGACAACACCGTGGTTAGTCAACCTCACCATTCTTCTGTTCAACGACATGAAATGCCTCTTGAATCCGACGTGGAAGGTCTTGGGCTGTATACCTCCAATCATCATCCTAACATCCGCTTTACACTTGAGGTCAAGTCATGAAGTTCATGACTCACCGAGTCTCGAATCACAGAGCACCAGTCGCTGTCATGGACAACTGCAACCTTCGCTTTGGGGCACTATAAAGGTCAAGGACTGATCGGTGGCAGGTTATGTGTGTGTGTGTGTAGTAATAAGCGGCACCTTTCGCAGCATCATGTCAATGACATAGGTCGCGGGGTGAGTTGCTGTTGTCTTCAAGATGATAAACATTTGAAGAGGGGTATGATATAACCAGAAGCGCTGACCTGTGCAAGGGTCATCGAATCGGTCACCTCGGAGCTACCCCCGCGTTTATGACCACGCAAAAAGCTTATGCGACCTTGAAAATGATGTTGGTTGGAGTGCCCACAATCGGGGGAAGCAGGAGACAGCGTACTTTGAAGAGAATTTATGGCACCTGAAACTGAAGGGAAAGGGCTCTTGTGGGATCGCATTGATGCTTGATCCTTCAGTAAAGCCACTACCTTCATTTCGAGACGCTCCCAGTCATCAACAGCGATACCAGGGGTGAGCGACCGGATAAAGGTACACTGGTTTCGTGGAGGCACGGAGCCGTTGACCCCTAAATTCATAAGCTCCTCCTCTTCAGGACCAGACTTCGCCTCTAGCACACTTGCATAATCCCATTCATACGTTGTATATGAAGAATGTCGACCTTGACCTTCGTTACCAACAGGACCGAACCTCAAGAGGGACACGTTGTCTTCAGGACGTTTCGACTGGAGATGCGAATATGTTGCGATTCCCCATGAGGTTGTCTTGTCACACCCCTTGAGGCATTGCTAGAATAGCGCCATCAGAACCGGAGCATTCAAACGTTGCCCTGCTACGACCTTTGTGAGTGCCCCTGCGATGTGGAAGGGAACAGCGACTTACTCTCGCTTCTTTACAGCCCGACTGGCTAAATGGCTGTGCGAAGAATGAGCATGGAATTTGCAAACATCGGTTGATTTCAAATGAAAGGGAGAAAAGCCTTCGGGAAGTTCGTTAGGGCTACTTGTGTCCCCAGCGGGTAAACAGACGTTAAAGAGGAAGTCGAAGCCACCATCTGAAGTGAAAATTCCCACATCGCCAATGCTGACGCCTTGCCGTTGATATGAGCGAGGAAGTGTCGTGTTGGGCTGAGGGATCCAAAGAGGAAAACCATGCTGTTTCAGATACATGTGACGCTCGTAGATGGAGTTACTGGATTCTTCTTCAACGGGATCGCCCTCCCCTGTGGGTGGAGACTGTCCGGTGTCAGCACGTTGGCCACGGTGACAAGAGAAAAAGCCAACCTCGATTTCTGGAGATACTTCGCTCCCACCAAGGCCTGCATAGCAGCATGACGAAGTCAGAACTCAACCCAGTTTTCTCCCGAAAACCCATTGAAATTATGTACCTGAATCGTTGGACACACTGAACTCTTCCAGCGAGCTCTGTTCTTGGTTTGATGGGATGAAGTGCTCGAATAGGGCACATTTTTGTCCGAGGATGAAGTGGTAGCATGAGGCGGGTCTCCCGAAGTAATAGAATTGCTGACGGCCAAGGTAGAATGCGATGTGTCGGAGTTAGATCCCCCAATATGATTATCTAAGTGCTTGCCAATGATTAGGAGGTCTTTGACGATATGAAGCATGCGTACTGATGATAAATGTGGTCCTGATATGGTCCCTCTGCGAGTTGATAATTTCCCCACCGAGCACACTTGTGGATAAAGCGCCCGAGAGAATGGATGCCCTAGTCAACTATTTAGAATAACTCGTCGAACACATGCTCAGAACCAACGTACCCTGTGCTTTCCATTGGAGGGACGGCCCTCGTTTCGTCGACTGTCGAGGTGGACCTAGTTGTACGCCTCTCCGAGTTCATTTCAACCTAGCGATTTGGAATTGGAGGTGCCATGAGCACAGGTTTTCCTGAGCGCTTCCAGTCAAGGCCAAATTCCCATGCTCGCCATTTAAGATATTGGTGCCTGTCTTCACCAACTTCTTCGCAACCTATTGAAGTCTTGACTCTTCAGTGAACGGGCGAAACGAGAGGCGGTCGGGACAGATGTAAACGTCGGGTTTCGTTTGGGTTCCCGTTCTCGTTGCTAAACTCTTTTCACGAGTGGTCCCTCGCTTTTCTGGCAAGAGTCATTTGTAAAATTCACTTGAGCTTGCGCCAGGCTTGCACCTCAACGTCTCAACGTTCAACCCGGACACGTCACGTGATTCATCAGCAACACCGAATTAGTGTCATGTGTATGAATGAGCATGAGTAGAGCGAGTTGGGTAGGGTTATGCAGAAACGATTCCCGCTACGTTAGTAGTGGTTGACCCAGTCTAAGGTGGAAGTGGTGGATGCTGGAGTTGAATTCGTAGGACGAATTGGAAGGCCCAAACCATAATGAAAGGTGGTTTAAAGTTGGTTTAAAGCGGCCATATGGTACATATATTAATTGTAGTACATCAATACATAGCACTATCTTTGCCACTGACCTGCAATAGATACAGCTTTACTATGCACCAGCCTAAGCTTAAGCATAAGGCAGTGACTATCCCCACGGTAGTTCGTTAGGTGATTGGCGACTTTCTCTACAGTTTTTTTCCCAATGGACATCTACCAATGACTCCGAAGACGATGTTATGACTCGAAACATCTATCACCTTCCTTATGACCGCCCTTCTTCCAAATCCTGTGTGTGTTTTTCGGCCAATGATGGCGCCGTCGAAAACAGCCGGTCTTGTGCAAACGAATGATTGATGCAAAAAGTGACCGTTTCGTGCAGCGCATACTTTTGGGGATGAAGCAATAACAAACGGCGCTAAGGCTGGCCAAAAAGAGCGCTTGGACATTCAAAGACACACAAGATCGCCGTGGATAAGCCATGTCAAGTCATAGACGTAAACACGACACTCTCCATCTTGATAGCCCCAAACACGCGGAACGTGCGGACATTACCCATCCCATCGCTCGAAGTCTGCAAGTCCGACACCTGCCCATTCGCATCGAGGTGTATATGCTGGAACCTCTGATGCATCGAGCTACATAACATCCCAAATCAACAAAACGCCAATTTCAAGCATGTACATATGTAGGACAAGGCATAACACACCTTTCGTATTCATACAGAGCCTCCTGCACCAATTCATCATTCACATCTTCTGTTTCGATGGCATGTTCTACCAGTTTATGTTTGCACGATAACAACGTCCTCATATGTCTCGTCGTGTACATCTCGAGTTCTTCCGCCTCCATGGGGAGATAGGTTGACGGGAGGAGGAGGAGACCCGTAGTTGGGTTCATCTCTGCCTCGCTTACAGCAGCTTCGTCTTGGTCTTCCTCAGTGGAGGGATCGCGATGAGCGAGGAAAAGATGCATGACTTCCATAAGCTCCCCATATCCGAATATATCTTTCATCATTTGCGAGATGAACGTCTCGGGATGGAGGGAGATGCCATATGTCTTGGAGAGCATGTGTTCGAAAAGGAATTCAAAGTTGAGAGGCGGGGTGATGGGGGGTTGGGGCGGGAAGATGATGGCATCTTCAATCAACTCCAGTCGTCCACCTGGGGAGAGTACGCGATAGACTTCTTCGAATACGTGTGCCCATGAGCCTGTGGGTATACAGAGTGTGAGGCATGACATTCTTATCAAGTCGAAGGTGTTGGAGTCGAAGGGGAGTTGGTTCAGGCTGGATGGTACATATGAATGAATGAAGATGAGGACGAGAAAGAAAACGTTGTGGAACACGTACAAATTTCCCCGAATGAACTCGATTTGACGCTTTACCCTATGTTCGACGGCGAGTGGTAATAAAGCCTTTGAAATATCCACCTTGTCGTACCCAATCACCTTGGTCCCGTATCTGCTCCATTTTATGGCAGCTTCAACGACCCAGTGTCTGTCGTCTATCGAGTAAGTCGCAGTTAAGAAGAGAAAAGCACACTAACCCTTGTCCACATCCAAGGTCAAGTACTTGTCGAGGAGGCGAGGACCCATAGTCATAGAACGTCGGCGAGTCAGTCGTGTTCAAACGGCGTAACAGCTCCCCCGTCCATCTATCGCTACATCAAAAGTCAGCAAGATCAACTGACAGTAAAACACAGTAGAAACGTACTGGTCAAGAAGAACAGCATCAAACGGATTCAAAGGATAACTCCCAACCCTCGACTTGCCTCCCGTTTCCATTGCGTGTTCCCCACCATAAGCGTTCTCAGCACCCATATCAGTAGCCCTCCGAATATCAGATACCTTCTCCGCCACCTCATCCCATCCAACTCCCACTCCCAAATCAACTGTCGGCCCAATCAAACACCATGAACTCGAGAGATTCGAAGTCGACTCAAATTCCATCGACATCGGCATCATCTGCATCTCATCTCCGTCTTCCACCTGCTTATCCTGCTCTCTTTGTTTTCCTTTATCCGGTTGCTTGATTTTGCCTATCAAGTGATAAAGACTCTTGAACGGTGTTGGGGATGGGTCGGTGGTGCTGGGTTTGAGTCTAGCTTTTAAATTGACTCGAGAACGACCGGAGGGGCAGATGAACGGCGCTGGTGTTGGTGTGCTTGTAGTCGACGAAGTGGCGTCTTTGTCTTTGTCTTGGGGGCTTTGGGGGACAGAAGAAGTAGACGCGGGAACAGAAGACACAGCCTGCACCGAATCTCCCTGGTGAAGACGATGTTGGGGCACCACCCTGTGGTTCGCTTGCACTTGTACAGGAGGCATCAACGGCACACTGGGCACCAGCAAATCCGACAATGGGGACATGCTCGTCGTACTCGTACTCCCACTCGGAACGTGTACTTTACTGGCTTCGCGCCCCTTAGGACGAGCCAAAGAACGTCCGACAGGGCATACTTTTGGTACTGACTTTCGCTGCTCGTCCTTGTCGATACCTATACCCCTAGACTGACCTGGGACAGTGGCCGGCGAAGGTGAGAACACATAGTCGGATGCGTTGATTGGCATGGAGGGGTCGAATTCGACGCGGGTGGGTGTAGTGGGGAGGTAGGTTGTGTGTGAGTATGATGACGATGAAGACGGTTCAGCTGGTGAGATGGTTTGTGGGATGCTGAGGGGAGTGATGCATTGCTTATCGGACGAGCTGGGCCCAGGTGGATATACATCCTGGTGCTGCTCTTCTTCATGTGGTCCTTGGAAGTTCAGATGGGCGCTACTGTAGTTGTTAGCAGACAAGGGGTGTGCGTGATTGCTGTCGTGGCCCGGGATATAGAGCCGCAGAGATTGAAGTGGGCGAGTTTCTGGAAGAGAGTTCGAAGATATCGTCGTCGAAACTTTGTCCCTCTCCATACTTTGATAAAGGAGAGTAGCTTGGATGGGGTGGTGGCATGGGACCGGTATCTGATAGCCGTGAATTGTACCCCTTCTTTCTAACCGAAGACGGTTGGCTTGAGTTGAGTAGGTTTTATCCCTGACAGGGAATGGTTGGCTTGAGTTCATGTTCGCCGACTGTTGTTGGGAAGGAGCAGGTAATGAGCGTGATACTTGCATTCGCGAGGGGGGCGGGGGCTGGTACGTCGCCATCACAAAATCATGTAGATCACTGGGGTGTTGATTCAATAACTCGTCAAATACACGCTCAGATCAACGTACCCTATGTTTGCCACAAGTCGAGGGGCGGCCCTCGTTTCGTCTGAGACTGTCAAGATGGACCTAATAGACGACGACATTTCAACCTACTGATAAGTTGGAGGTGCCAATTACAGCATGAGCATAGGCTCTTATCGTGGGCGCTTCCAGTCAAAGCGGAATTCAGCGGAATTCTCATGCTCGCTTAGCGAGGTATCTAAGATATCGGTGCCTGTCTTCATTGCTCCTCCGCGCGACCTGGGTAGAGTGGTAGGCAGGCCGCGCTCGCGGAACGCGCTCTTGCGTAATTCGTTGTCCTCAGAATGGAGAAGTATTGAAGTCTATGGCGAATTAGAGGTTACATAGGGTTGAGCTGAAGAACGCAAGTCTGCAGACCTCATTGTGGAGGAAGAGGAGACCCTTCCCTAACTAGCGCGTTCACCTGAACAGAAAACCAGGAAGGAAACGACGGCGGCGATGGTTAAAATCTGGTTGGAATATTGAGGAGTCGATTCACATCGACGCCAAGCCGTGTGAACAATCTGAGATCTGACCAGCGCCATCGTGATCAGATTGCTTCCACCACGGCTGCCACTGTGAGTATCAGTTTCTCGCTTTCCTAGCACCAAGGTTGATGGAATTTTTCTAGTCATCGTTCTGTGATTTACCTAGAGCACCTAGTCAGGCCGGATATAAATTTGCGCTGAACGACTAGCTCAATCGAAAGTGCAGAATGTTCGCTTGAAAGGCGAGCTATTGGGCTTGGAACAGCCTTACTATCCCATCTTGCATGGATCAACCTGAGGAGTGGAAGGCGCATGTGGCGTATACCAATTTAGAGAGCCTCAAAGGCTTTCCGGAGAGAGTGTGTGAATTGAAAGGATCCTGAATCATGGTCAATGAGAGCAGCAAAGACAGAGGGAGAGCGAGTTTATGGACGGATCGGACCCGACGGTACTCATTGTTGAAGCCGGACAGAGTATGGAGTCAGGTATGAGGCTTTGTATCTACATGATCCTCTTCGTGAATCTCGCATTTCTGACTATGAGGATGACAGCTAACTTGATTTCTTTTTAGGGTATGATCATATGCCATACATTCCGTGAGCTTGAAGCTTTTCTCCCCTATCTCGACCTTATATTCTCGCAGTTCCCACCGACATGGCAGGTCTATGCTTGAGCCGTGAAGGTAAGCTGAGATAACACCATCCGCTGGAACCCTTACTGATCAGGATTGACAGCTTTCCAACTGGCTAGAGAATTACGCCGAAAATTTTGAGTTGACCGTGTGGTTGTCAAACATCTGGTCGATCGATGGGTCCCGCCACCAGCAAGTGGAATGTATCCGTCACCAGGGGCAGTGGAGAGAGGCGCACATTTACAGTCAAGCACGTAATGTTCGCCACAGGATTGGGCAGCGGGTCTCCTCCAATTACGCCTTCATACCTGGCATGGTACGTCAATTGAACGCACCTGGCATTATAAATTATCTCACATATTGAATCGGCAAAAAGGACAAATTAAAAGGGGACATTTTGCATTCTAGTGAGCACAAAAAAGCGTCTGACCACGTTGGAAAGAAAGTGGTTGTTGTTGGCACTTGCACTTCAGGCTAAGAACCTTCATCATGCCTTCGTTATCTTATTTAAGCAGCCCACGATATTGTCCAGGACTATTACAACCACGGAGTAGGCATGTCGAGGATCGATCTGGCGATGGTCATTGATTTGCTCACTTTCCTGTAGGTGTACATAACCAGCGAAGCTCGTCATGTCCACAACAAATAGCTGGAAAGGATCAGGGATCAATGAAATGAAACAAGAGGGGTATGGGGAGCGAATCGAAATGGGTTCACGGCCATTTTGTAGACGATGGACGATGGACAAAAGGAGAAGTTCAACCTTCAATAGGGCACCCAGTGACAACAGCACGGTTTTCAATCTTGGAACTAATTGAACGGTATACCATGACTCTGCAGTATCTGCCTCAACGTCAACGCCCTCGCCTGCCACTCATCCTTCTCCAACGTCAATTTAGCAACGCTCTCCTCCAACTCCCCCTAATACTCCAACTTCCTCTTCCAACTTCTCCTTGCTGCGAGGACAAACCCCCTTCGCTTCCACTCAATCTGCTCACTCTCCGTGGTGTTGGGCGCGAGAGGCTCATCTTCGTCCTCTTCTTCCTCTAGTGCCTCGGCCCTAGGGCGCTTGCCGGCAAGAACGGTGGATACACTGGAGAGGTTTTTAGGTGAAGCCGCGGATGGGCCGGCGTACTTCCGCGGCTGTGTGGGCGCATCGAGGGGTAAAAGAGCTTCGGGTCTTATGCCCTTGCGTGTTCCCCTGACGCAGTTGTTGCGCTGGTCATTAGTGTCAATGGGGAGTTGGGATTGTCAAGAAAGGAGAGGAGGAGATTATTGTATTAGGTCGACACGATTCTAGGGGGACGCCACTCTCACCTTGCTAGAATCAGAACTCGGGTCGTCACCGGACGACCCGCAGGCAACAATCGACGTATTGAAGGGCGAAGGCTGCGCGAGAGGGGCACAGCTACCCGCTTTCTGAAATTGTTGAAGAGCGAAATCGAGAAAGGCAGCACTCCGCACAGGATTATCCTCGTCACTTAGTTGACCCTTGCTATCCTAAAAGCAACCGTGGTCATCTAATTCGTTGCAAGCAGCAGAGCCATTCAGACATTCGCCTCGCTAGAATCATGATATTTTTCAATTCTGATATTTTCATCTTCATCGTTTTTGAGGAACGGTGGAGGGTCAAGTTTCGAAGGGGATGGCCATGGCCCGGAGTGGTCGAAAATATGCGAGGACTTTGGTATTTGATCCTCGTCACTCGAATCGCCCTAAATATGATTACGGTCATCAAACCCATTCAGAGCAGCGAAGCCTTTTAGATAATCGCCTTGTCAGAATCATAGTATTCGTCAAGTTTGGTGTGATCCCAGTCGTCAACTTCTGGTTTCGGGTGGAAACGTGAAGGCCCTGGCATTCGGTCGTCAACTAGAAGTCGGCCTTCGTCCTCCACTTTAACGGAAACGAGAGATGATATACTGAGGCGTTTCAATCTTTCTTGTAAGTAGACAGTACCTAGGGAAAAATTATGAGAACCCTGACAACACCACAGTCAGGCATCCTCACCATGCTCCCCCTGCACGATATCAAACGCCCCCTGAATCCGGCGTGGAAGGTCTTGGACTGTATATGCCCAATCGTCATCCTAAGATCCACTTTACACCTTCAAATCTAGTTATGAAGCTTATTGCTTACTGAGTCTCGGATCACGGAGCACCAGTCGCTGTCATGGACAACTACAACCTTCGCTTCGGGGCACTGTAAATGGACAAGGATTGATTAGTTTCACGTTCGTGCGTCGCAGCAAGCTGTACCTTTGTAGTATCGTGTCAATGACGTAGGTTGCGGGGTGAACTGCTAATGCCTTCGTCAAGATAGTAAGGATATGAAAAAAGGTATGAGACAAATGAACTCTGCGCTAACCTGTGCAGGAGTCATTGAATCGGTCGGCTTGGAGGTACCTTCGTGACCATGGCCACGTAGAGAACTTAAGCGGCCTTGATGTTATTAGCTGTGTTGCGCACAATCACAAAAGACAGGAAACAACATACCAGGAAGTGAACTTATGGCACCTAAAACTGACGCGAAAGGGTTCTTGGGGGACTGCGCCGATGCTCGTTCTTCCGCTTTTGAAGCCGCTACCTTCAATTGCAGGCGTTCCCAATCATCTTGACCAAATGCAGGGGTAAGAGATCGAATGAAGGTACACTGATTTCTTGGAAAGGTTGAGCCTCGAACCCCCAGGTCCACAAGCTCATCTTCTTCGGGTCCAACCTTCGCCTCCACTGCGCCCTTGTAATCCCAAGCATATGTCGGGTACGAAGGCTGTCGACCATGGCTTTCATTACCAACAGCTTCAAAGTTCAACAAGGTTACGCTGCCTTCAGGACGTTTCGACTGGAGATGCGAATAGGTTGCGATTCCCCAAGCAGTCGTCTTGTCGCAACCTGTTACCATGTGAAGTTCGCCATTACCAATTTCCCGACCGCAAGGTCCATTGGCATACTGATACCAGCTTTCAGCATGAGTCACCGCGTCATCTCTGAATCTGCTGATATTTTTCAGATCTTCGTGATAAGCTCCTTGAGGTATGGTTAGAACAGCGCCATCAGAACCAGAGCACTCGAATGTTGCTCTACTAAAACCTCGTTAGCACCTCTGAACATGTAGAAGGGATAGGCGGTTTACTCCTGTCTTTGTACAGACGTGCTAGTCATATGGCTGTGTGCAGAATGTGCACGGAACTCGGAAACGTCGGCAGGTCTAAGCACAAGGCAAGAAAAGCCTTCGGGAAGCTCATTAGGGTTATTAGGATGTCCTGCGGGGAGACAGACGTTGAAAAGGAAGTCAAAGCCACCATCCGACGTGAATATCCCAACATCACCGATGCTGACACCTTGTCGTCTGTATGAGCGAGAAAGTCTCATGTTGGGTTGAGGAATCCAGAGAGGAAAACCGTGTTTTTTGAGATACATGTGACGCTCGTAGATGACGTTACTGGGCTCTTCTTCGACGAGATTCTCCTCTTCATTGGGTGGAGACTCTGGAGACTTCTCAAGGTCAGCACGTTGGCCGCGCTGGCAAGAGAAAAAGCCGACCTCGACTTCGGAAGCTACCTCGCTACCACCAAGGCCTGAACGGTGAGTAAGAAGTTGAACTCAGGTTTCTTTGTAAAACGATTGAGAGGACATACCGGAATCTGTGGACGCACTGAATTCTTCCACCGAGGTTTTTTCTTGGTCTGATGCAGATGAAGTGCTAGAATAGCGGAGATCCCCAACCGACGATGAAGTGCTAGCATGAGGCAAATCCCCCACCGACCCCGAAATCCTGGGCTTGCTGACGTCCAAGGTAGCACGCGATGTGTCGGAGTCAGACCCCCCAATATCTAAGGACTTCCCAATGATTACGAAGTTTTTGAATATGTGAAGCAGGTGTACTGACGATGAATGTAGCCCTGTTATGGTCCCTCTGCGAGTTGACAATCTCCCCACCGAGCACACTTGTAGATGAAGCACCCGACAAAATTGATGCCCTGGTCAACGGTTCAGAATAATTCGTCGCATACGGGTAGAGAACCAAGTTCCAACGCACCCTGTGCTTTCCATTAGAGGCGTGGCCCTCGTTTCGTCGACTGTAGCGTTCACTTCAACCCTACGATATGGAGGCGCCAATCAACTCTGCATCAGCACAGGTCTTTCTGAGCGCTTCCAGCCTTGGCAGAATTCCCATGCTCATTCAGCGAGCTCGTTATCACTATTGGTGCGTGTCTTCATCGCTTTCCAGCTTCCTTGTGACCTGGGTAGAATGGTAGGCAGGTCGCGCTGGCGTAACACGTTCCCTGCTATTCCTTGTCCTCAGCAGCATAAAACAGTGAGAGACGCAGTATTGAGTTAACAGTGAACGGGCGAAGCGAGACGCGGGATGTAGCACGTCGGTTTTTCGTGGGCTTTGGCCGGGGTTTCCGTCCTTATTGCTAAGTGTCGCTCGTAGAATTTACTTGTGTTCGTGAACTCCGCCATAGAAAGTATGACGAACTATGTAGATCGAGCGGCGGCGAATTAGAAGTTTGGGTTTGAGTAATGCAAGTGGCAACCTGCCCAAAACCTGCCGCAGGTCTCGTTGTCACGGTGGAGGAAGAGGTTGAAGTGGTCAGTCAAGCTTTCAAGCTTTTCAAGTATGACTGAAGAACTGTGGGCACTAGATGCCAGCTGGAGTTGAATTCGGCGCCCTCTCCCCTTCCTCTTTTGACGCTTCGTAGATGAACAAAGACCTGATCGTGTAGAAGACGGAGTCAGAAAAAAGTTCATCATTGGTAAAACGCAAAAGATTCGAGGGTCCAGGCAGAAAGATTGAACATCTGGTCCGTCATACGTGTCATGTAGGTGATGAGAAGTTTCTTTAAAATTCTTTAGTAGGGCATACTATTAGTGTCAAATCTACAATAGCATCCAGTGTGATAATTAAATCAGAAAGGTATGCTTGACGAGTACACTTTCACAGATTCCTGATCCGGAGGGCAAGTTTCTCCAGAAATGGTGCCAAACGTTTCTGTCCCCGAACTTTAACTCCTGATACAGCACCCGACATACAGGAGTTGGAGTTTGTGAAGGAACTCTTCTCAGTCTTCGTTTGGCGGTTTATGGCCTTGAGCAAGGTCACCAGGTGTTCAGTTCTTTGTCATCTCGGGCAATCTCCAGCGGGGAAGTGGCTCAATAAAGACAAAAACATCGGAGCGCTCGGGTTTTTGGACTCCGAGCAGAAACGAATTCTCTTCTGGCTCTGGTTCGATGTGAGTGAGGCGAAGTCCTGCTCGAATTTCTTTTGCCAGGTTCGTCGAGTGCGCCGTGGGTGAAGCTTCTAACCAGGGTTAGCACATTGACATCGCCGATAAGAACAAAAAAAAACCGACCTCGCGTTTGAAAGACGTGTTAATGCCATGGCCTTAACAACATCATGTCAAAAGTGTGTATGATGTTGTTCCGAGGACAAATGTCTGGATGAGCGAAGCCGCTCGACTCCCCCTTGTTCTTGGTTAGGGAGGGCGTTTCTGACTGAAGCTGACACGCTCATGGCTCGTGTGGCGCACGATGTGTCCAAGTGAGATCCCACAACTGAGTAAACTTCCGATGAGTCAGAATATCTTCGAGATGTGAAGCGTGCGTACTGTAGCCCTGCTTTCAGAGTCTCTCTAGGAGTTGCCAACCTAGCGCACTTGGAGACGAAACGTTCGAGAAAGGTGATAACCTAGTAACGAAATCGGACCAGTACGTGGGCTGTGGACCAGAATCAACATACCCTTCGCTTGCCATTTCGGAGAAGCCCTTGTATTTGCTGTAAAGGAGACCTCGGAGTTCCTTACTTAAAGGTTTGAACGCTGTATGAACCTATGGGTCCGTTATTGGTCCTTCATGTGTTCAAACCACTAAACTCCTAACAAAACGCGTTAGGATATTGTTGCGGCATGACATGAGCATCTGATCTAACCGGAGATGTTCCTTCATCGTTTTTGTGCATAATTGCAGGAGGTCGTTAATTATCCACGTTGATGAGACGCGTCTCTTCCTAAGTGGCACGCTTCCTCCAACAGAAAGCGAGGAAGGAAAACACGATGGCGATGGTTGATTATTGAGTCGGAGTCGATTGTGGATGAAGCTAAGACGCCTTTGCTGCGCTGTTCAAGTCTAGTGATCACCGTGAGACCTATAATGATTTGGCCCGCACACTCGCAACCAACTCGCAACTTCTGTCATCTCGGGATTGTCTGACCCCCCGAAGAGTCGGCTACTAGCCTTGAGGCTGGTAGCCTGGGAACGATCACCGCGTCATTCGGCAAAGCCCGTCAGCTCATCAGAGACTCTGCTCTACACAAGTCTACACAACAACTTACGTAGATTTCTTGTCGGGACAACCTACATCTCAAAAAAAAAAATGCAATGAATTTCGAAAACAGGGATACTTTCAAATTTCAAACGACTGTTGTGAAAGATACCTCAATTTTTTCTATAAATGACACGGAGTGACGGAATCAACACCACCAAACAGTTACCAAATAGAGTGTTAGAACTTAGCGCTGTATACGCTTTATGATACGCATTTTGTGGCGACGGTAACGGGTTTCACGAGGAATAACTTTACATTGTTCTAATACAAATGGATAGTGAAAGGTATAAAGAAGAACTTACAAAGTCAAGCTAAGCATCAACCAATAACCACAAAACTAGCAAGTAACTAGTCCAGCACCCAACTTAAGCATGATGCATGATGTGTTATATGTGTCTAATGCATTCAATGACTCTTCATATATGTGGAACTGAGTGTTTGCGAGCAGTGCGATAATTACAAGAGGCTCGGAAACGAGACGCGACATGATACATTAACGCGACGGACCCATCACTACGTCACGTTCAGCTATGGCCGCACGTGAGGGCATCAGCGGCGTTTTCCGAGGGAGCGTCCAGGCTTGTAGCACTGAGGCTCGTGGCCAGGTCAGCGGGCGGTCCGACATTCTGGTCATCTCCGAGTCGGTGGACAGGTGACAAGAGAGCCTCCCCATTCCTCCTCACGACTTGTCCACTCCCTGAGTTCCATCACACCATGTCTGGCTATGACTATCTCGATGACTGTCATGCTCTCGAAGTGCCTCCTTTTCATTATGGAGGAAGTTTGTGTAAAGGCCGGCTGGAATGCATTGGCAATGAGCCCCCCGAGTCTTATCCTAAATACAATGTTGAGCCGCCGAATTCAACGATCAACTTCGACTGTGAATCCGATTCTGATTCTGGCAATCCCGCCATACCTAACTCTACCCAATCTAACTCCAACTCCTTTGTCGACGATTTGGTTGCCAACTTCGACTCCGCCGGCTTCACCATGGAAGGCTCACCAATTATCCAAACTTTCTTGTCTGAGAGGGAAACGCTCGGATTATATCGCTTCAACGGCCCATTCCTTGTACTGGAATTTGGGGACATAAATGGTGTTGTCCAGGCAAGTCATCAAGTCTACTTCTCTAAAAATTCCAAGCTGATGGTTATCAGTCAACCTACATGATTCCGGACCTCTTCAAGATCAAACATAGTCATCGCTTGATGGTTAGTCTGATTTCAGCGCAGTCTCGGCAATTTATTGCCCAACAGCAGCTTCGACATCTACCTCCCGGCACAACTGTGGATGATGCGGCTAAATTACAGCAAGATGTGGTGAATCTGATGTTGGCGAGGGCGAGGGTGGAGGTGGAGTTCCTTCTTCCCCACGCAACAGGCTCCCATACCACAGTCTGACTTGTTGTCTGACTTATCATCCTTAGCCACTGGCTGACCCATTGTCGCCATCAGAGAAACCGCGGGGACGCCCAGTGAATGAGTTTTAGATGTTTGCCCGATTTCAGCCTTAATCGCATTCTCATGATACCCCTCCCTCCACTTCGTCCTATGAAGCCCTCGTTTATGCTTATCATTTCGTTAGCTCGTTCTTCTGTGTTCCGCCACTTACATTGACGGAATCTATCCTGATGCAAATCCTTCCTCTGAACAAAGCTTTCACGTCATCCTTTTCATTTACAGTGCTTAACACTCATGTTCGCAAGTTAACAGCTGTCAGGCCTTCTTCTGACCTTACCAAAAGTTCTTCAAAGCAGAGCGGAAGGCGGCCGAAGCTCCCATAAACAAAATGGAGGGAAAGGAAAAAATATATTCGCTCTCAGGTCGAGGTAGAGTGGGTAGGAACCGGAATATACGGATAAGAAACGCATTGTTGTTTCCTAGAAGATAATGATACAAGGGTATAGTAATACATACGCATGGATAACTGTCGAGAGTGAGGACAAGTAGTGACCTGACGGAGGGGACCTTTGACAGTCTACCCTGTTGGTACACCAAATGCAGTTCTCTAAGGGAGAGCGATAGAATTAGCATAAAATACCGTTCTAGAAAGAGGACATGAGACGAACAATATCTATGTAACTTATGCTGTTCGTTCGGCCGTAGGCAGGAAGTTGATTTGTTCAGGTGTCATCGAAAGGATCCACATAACAAGTGCCTGGGGAGAACACAAACGTCAGGAAGACGACAGGAAGATGAAAGGAGGTCATGTGCACCTTCTGGTCATCCGGAATAGCGGCAAAGGTTTCTGGCAAAACTGATGTTTGTGGTGCCTGCGGAGGGGGGTTGAGGTTCCCCGTACAGTGAAGGATAGCCAGGATAAGCCACTTGTGCTTGATGGTACGGGTAGCCTTGATATCCGTAAGCTTGCTGGGGGGCAGGAGCGCCGTAGTATTGCTAGCCATTCGCATAGGCGTAACTTTGTTGTTGTTGGGGAGGCGTTACTGGTGACACAGCCGATGGAGGTGTAGACGTTCGTGAATGGGGCTGTTGCTGCTGCATGTGGGGCGGTACTGCCGACGCTGGCCTTTGGGGCACAGAAAGGGGTACTACAGGTGTAGCACCCGTCGGAGCAGCTTGGGCAACACTTGAACCGAATTCCGCCCATGTTTGCTGTTGCAACGTTCACGTCAGACTTTTTGGGTATTCTTGTCGTGGCGGATATTGACTGATACTCACCTTTGAAACTTCCACGTCTATCGCATTCATGCTCACCAGGAGATTTATGAGTGCATACGCAATGGCGGGTTAACTGTTCAAGATCTCGCGTGCTGCTGCGGAGGTAGTTTCCTAGTGTTATTCAGTGCGCCCAGAGATGTGAGGTGAGGTTTGCTAACTTTCAGTTTCAGAAGGAGGTCTGGTGGCTTGCGTTGGACATCGTCGACGGTGGTGAAGTTCGTGAAAAGAATTACATAATAGCTTTTCCTCTCCCATCCTCAACCCATCCTCCGTTTCAAAGCAGCTTCAAGTTGCGCATCTGGTCAACATCTGGTGCGTATTTGTTGACAATATGCGACAGAGTATCTCACCCATAACTTTGACTAAAAAGAGCATTGAATGGGACGCACGAATGCCTGGAAGTATTCGATATCATAACTCTCATATTTGAAGCTGTTCCGGATGACCCCAGTCGCGTTTCCAGCCGAACTGATTGCTTTAGCAGTCACTTGCCGCGCATTCCACAACCTTGCGCCCGACATGTACCGCAACCTCGCCAACGACCTCCTCCGTCGATGCCGCGCCCTCCCCCTCAAAGACCTAACCACCCCCCAATTCATCCGCTCCGTCGACAAAGCCACACGCTATGAATCTGCGAGACCTATCAAAGGTGGCTCGTACAGCTCTACAGGGATAAAGGCACACTCGAATCACATGGACACGCTCCCCGCCACCATCAATCATGAGAAGTGGTACAAAATCGTCAGCGCCCCTCCAGGTGAAGATGTTGACTGGCTCTCGCCGATAACATCACTCCGTGACGAACAGCGGGAAAGTCGTTTGCTGGGACATTGGGTCTGACACGTGCCTCGCGCAATGTTTTTGTTGATACGAGGATTGACTCTGTGCGTGTCTGTTCTCTTCCTCTGATTCTTTTCGCGGCTAAATGGGGGGAATAGGCGGCATCGTCAAGTTGGAGTTGTATCCTATACGACGAGAATATCGTCATACACTGCGAAGAGAGCGGAGCGGCTTATCAACATTCTTACCCACTATCGCTCTTACAGACGTACACCACAAAGCTAGCGACGAAAGTCTCGATACCGATGATTGCGCATGAAGTGCCGCCTTCACGAACTCTAACGAAGAAATTCATTTTTCCTGCCATACATGCCAACGACGACTTAATACCCAACACTAACCCCCCTAATAATCACAACCAACATCAACTCACCACCACCACCACCACCACCACCGCAACAACAACACCACCCACCCAGAACGCCAATACCCTGGTACCCCAAAAGCGCGCACTTTGTCCGACAATGGTGGCCCAGCCTACCCAACATCCCACGCGTGAAGTGCACAGTCGTCTTATTGGCGGCACACGACCAAGTGAGCCATCGTCCACGGTTCGTGCTTGCGCAGCATTATTTTCGGGAAGGGCGGATGAGGGTGAAGGTGATCTGAAGTTGTTGAGGTTTGTGACGTTTCCTGCATTTAGGGATGAGTGGGATTTGAGGGTGGGTCAGGTAAGTGGGGAAGGAGGAGGGGGAAGAGGTGAAGTGAGGACGCTGGAGGCTCCTGACGAGTTGGATTTGAGTGCGGTTGAGACGATTAATATTGATCAGAGTCAGGGGGCAGTTATTCTTTCGGATAGGGATGGGAGAATCTTTATTTTGTGTTATGAGTAGAAGAGTTTGTTGGAACTTGGAAATCGTATTGACGCCTAGAGGGTTAGGCAAGGTTGTTCACGGGAGTCAAATCAAGGGGCATGGAATGGCGAAGACATGGGTGGTGCACTGATCTCTGTCGTGCTCCGTCGTGCGTCCCTCCGACGAAATAAGAATTGGGAGTGGCCCAAAATCTTATATGTGTTGAGTATCACTTTGCGGCCTTCAGGTTGTGAAGTGACATGAAATAAGGATGGAGGATGTGCATTGACATTCAAGTTCAACAAACCTCGGCCGGCACGGAGAGTGCTAGTGAACTTTGAAGTCATACCATAAGTACCTCTGGCGTTCAAGTTGTAAGGGCTGGGATAAGATAAGATCACTTGTCCATGTGAGTCAGAAATCTATTCCAACGAACTTGAATGCACTTCTAGAAACAACGCCATCGGCTTTAGGACTCAAAAGCTAGCAGCAAGGGCACGGCTAGCAGCGTGTCCCCCACTGTGCGAGTCAATGGCTTAGCGTTCCAATAGCGCTCATCAGAGTCGCCTAGTGAGAGCTCGTGAGTCTCCCTTATCTTTTAATCTCTGCGCCTCTTTTTCTGAACGTGTGCGGACTCATCCGATCACAGCCCATTTCAACATAGCATGTGCTGTGTCATGACGAAAGTCCAAGCATCGAAACGCAGTGGTCGTTTTGCTCATTTCCGCCGAAGCCTGGCTGGTCTATGCCATATTGGTGCAGAACAACCTGTCAAGATAGAGGCGATTCCTCACTGCTTTTCCGTGGTCGTAATAACCTGTACTCGTCAAGCGTCCTGGACAATCCTCTTCTTCTCCTTGTGAAATGTTGAACCCTCTTCCCCTTTTACGATTTGCTCTCCGCCCATTATTCGTTCTATGCGTAAATTATGTCCGCAGGCTAAGTCGATCAACAGTGGCAATTATTGGCGCTGTGGTTTTGGGTCTTGGAGCCATGGTGCTACTTTTTTTCAAGGCGAATCCACTAGGAGAAAACGACGCAAATTTTTATGACAGCCTTGACGCAGACCAAACAGGGGTAAATTTTTACTTGGGGTACATAACGACGGTTTGAATTGATTGGCATCATTATGATTCCATGCAGTTGTTCTTTTTGGGGAACATCTACAACGTTGACATCCCTTCACGCATCGTCTCCGTGTCCTGGCTCATTGGTGCTTGTGGAGATTTAAGATCGACTACGTGGTACCAGCATCATGCTTGCACGGCACCAAAAATACCTGTTGCCGTGTATATAAATGGGCAAGTAGATCTTGTTGACTGCCATTTCTATAGGCTAATCATTGAGCATTTTCAGTGCTTCTCGGCCCACTTTCAAGTATGATCCTAATCTGCAACCTCAGACCAACCAAAGTGGATTGATGTCAGCACCATAGTACGAGGTTCCTGTTATTTGTCTTGCCTTATTTAAATCGACGTACAAATTCAGCGTCCAGGCTTTGGACGAATACCAAACTACCCATTTTCTGGACGTCTACACCCAATTCCTGAAAATTAAAAACATTCAAATCAATATGGACCAATCGTATAATTATCCTTTCGACAATTTCTACATGGAAACCCAGATTGTTGCTATAAACACCAGTGATACAAACTTCAGTGCAATTCCAATCAATTCCATTGGATTTGCTGGTTATAGTAACAGCTGGGTTCCTTATGTGACCAATACAGCATCAACAACGCTTTTCAATGGAACGACTGTCACTTCTCGATACGCATACCTCACGTTGAAGAGAACCAACGTCTCCAAAAGCTTTGTCATAATTGTATTCGTCGTCAATTGGGGTTTGACATTGATGGTAGTCTCTGTTACGATGGTGGCTCTCTTCGCTAAAAACTTGCGAATACCAGATGGAATAGTTGTTCTTCCAGTATCCGTCATTCTTACCTTGAGTGGACTCCGCGCTCTATTTGTGGATTCTCCTCCATCCTGTGAGTGGTACTAAAGCTGTGTCAAATGATTCTTACCAATTCTCGACAGGCATTTTACTCGGTGAGGTATCTTCTGACTGAACCATTGTCTATTGACTTACACAATCAAAAAAGACATTATTGGTATCTTTTTTCAGATGACAATTGTGTCGGTTTGCTCCATCGCACTCATTGCGAAAATCACTCTCAAGTCTTTCAAGTTGGCGAAACAGGGTGAAAGCAATCAAGATTGACATTCAACTTTATCCCCTTCAGGAGGCCGACTTTTTTTTATGTACCCAAATTATGCAGATACCTCCTGTACTCGGATTGCGGCTACATAATTCTCTCTGAGGAACTTTACCTATGTGAATCAAATAAGTACTGGACCCTTTCGACGAGATGGATTAGTATTCCAACTTTGTTCCAACTGGTACTTACGGTATGTGTCAACGCAAGGGGGTAGCGGGACGTGGATCCCGAACCAAGGGTAGGTGGGGGGGGTGGTCTGGCCGAAGGCCGAAAAAAAAAAGTGACCCCCATCAATTTGCTGGTCGAAGTGGTCAGCGATGTGCCTTTTGGAACTTTGGATGTTTTAGTAGAGTTTGAGATGCAGCAACACACGGATTTCCGTGGATGACGTTGCATCCGAAGGTAATGGTTCAAGGATTTAGAGTCCCCGCCGCCGTAGTTCTTGCATTTTTGGTTGGTTTTTTTGACCGTTTACACCCCGTGGCAATCCTTGCTCCATGCACCACCCCATGCACAACGGAAACTCGATTCCTCGACTCCCCATTTACCTTTGAGGATTTTCAACACACATTGATGCTCGGAAAGAAATGCCGTCTCATTTTGTCCTTACTTACCATACATCTTTGAACAAGTACATATCTTAAAGCCGTTTTGTTTAGCTTAGGCAAAAGGTGGCCAACCGCCTGTGCATAGTTGACTCAAAAGTTGACTTGTTCCACGTAAATCTTACAAATTTAAAAAAATAAAACGTGAGTGTGGAAAAAACATACTCTATTAGGAAGGTAGGTGGTGGGGGGGTGTCAAGCTGAACTCTGAAAAAGAAAAAACGAGTGTTGGTCTCTTTTCCACATTCCGCCACCCCCTTGTGTCAACGCGTCAACAGTGACGCTGGTGAGGCATTATCGATTATTCTTTAGCGTCGCTTTGGAGTTGTCGTCTTCATGCTAGCAATTCTGAACGAAATGTAGTATGTTAGCAGTCAGAGATGTAACATCTTTCGAAAAATGACATTATCTAGGCTGATGGCCACTCTGCTTTGATCCGCCACCTAGACCCCCAACTTCTAAATCCCTGCCACCGAGGGAGCATGAAATGGCAATCGGGAGTGGCTTGATCTGACGTTCCAAAATCCTATGTATGTCGTGTATTACTTTGCGGTGCTCAGGTCAAACGAAAGTGCCTGGAACAAGGTTCGGAGGATTTTCTGGATGATGGACAAAGTCAAGCAGTGGCAAGTGCCTTCATTGGCCTTGACATTCGGCAACTGTCAACAAACTCTAGTTAGTACGATGGAGATGAAGACTGAAGTGCATAACATTTGATCTCATAGTCAGACATTGCGGCCTAATGCTCAGGCTGTAAGTTGAACAATCCATAGGAAGAGCTTCACATTTACAATTCACCATACAAGACACAATTACAACCATTACTGCTTCCAACCTTGTGGCGGGCATCAGATACGAAGAAGCATAACGCAAATGAACCGACACACCAAGGGAGACCAAGGACCAATTCCCTAGAAAGGGGAGAGGTAGCCAGTGATTCCTTCAAAGTGATATCTGTTCACAACACTGGCAGTATATCCCTCGTCGGACATCATATAAAAGTGCTCTTTGTCACTGGCGCTGTTGAGGTGATAAAGAGGAAGGGCACCGCAAGCTGTGTCAGGATACAAGTATCCAGCAATTCCCTCATACGTATACCCAAGGGCCAAGGCTATTGAAGGCTTTGCAGAGCATTATCCACCTCCGGGATGCTGGTCGTATAAAAGTGATCAATAATGGCAGAATTGAATATCCTATATTGATCCTATAGAAAGGAATACTATGACCTACCAGCACCTCGGCGCACCCTACGAGTCGGCGGTCACTGATCGTCACGAA